TGTGTGCGTGCGTGTGTGTGTGCGTGCGTGCGTGCGTAAAAGAGAGTGTGTGAGTGAGTTGGTAAACACAAGGTTGCAAGACCCAAGACGAAGAAAGGGGGTCCAAAACAACCCAAAGAGACGCAGTATGAAGAGAGACATCACTGTCACACAGCACCCCACCTTGCCAGACGGCGAGGCCACACCAGGTGGCGAACGCAATGATGACGATGACGCGGGTGGGCGTGGCCATGAGGAAGTCGGAATACGGGCCCTGGAAAAACCGGTCCAGCAACGAAGGCTCGCGTGCCCTAAGTGTTCGAAGAGGAAAACGCCATTGGGGTGAGGGAGGAGAAGGCGTTAAACAAGGATTGTACAAGCACACACAGCGCCAAACAGTGAACAGCCCCACTCGAATGCACATGCGCCTGTTTGCACTCCACACTCACAAAAAAAAAAACACATACTCAACCATGCACATCAACACGATACATCAACACGTCGCATTACATACACACACACGCACACGCACACACACACGCGCGCACACACGCACACGCACACACGCTCACGCTCACACACAAAGCAATCGCTCGTACACGCACCGCTTGTCGTCGTGGCAGCAGCGGATGCCAATGTCGGATCGGGAGGCAAGCACTCGAACACAGTCGAGGTACATGGCGGGGACGAAGAGGAGGAAGAGGAGGAGGAAGTTGAGCACAACGTTGATGGCCATCTGGTATGCAAACAGCTGCACAACCTCAACCGGCGCCGCAAACGCAATCAGGAACGCAACTGAAAAAAAAAAAAAAAAACAGGCGAGTCAGCAACGTGTGACTTGTGAGTGAAGAACGCCAACGCGAGCGAGGACAGGAAAAACTTCGCAACCACAGAAGAGCACATGCAGCGCACACGTTTACTTATGAAGCAAAACGGAAACAAAAGTCACCACACAAACGAACACACTTCTTCACACACACACACACACATACACACACACACACACAAAACACTCCTTTCATGCACGACACAAGAACCATGCGTATGCACACATGCACGCACGAGGGAGCGTGCACTTACCGAGGTTGGTGAAGGAGGTGAAGAGGACAGATGGGCCCGCCTCGCCAACAACGCGCGTCATAATGTGTTCGGCCTTGCTGCCGTCCTTCACCTCACGCGCATATGCGCGCAGCAGCACAAACATGTCGTCCACGCCAATGCCGAGCGCAAGGAACGGCACAACACTCGTGGACACCGGGGTGAAGGTCACGCCAAAGTAGAGGCTGAGGCCCAGAGCAGCGAAGATGGCGCCGCCAACGACAAGCATGCCCCACACAGCAAGAGCCTGCAGTTGTTGTTGTTGTTGTTGTTGTTGTTGTTGTTGTTGTTGTTGTTGTTGTTGTTGTTGTTGTTGTTGTTGTTGTTGTTGTTGTTGTTGTTGTTGTTGTTGTTGTTGTTGTTGTTGTTGTTGTTGTTGTTGTTGTTGTTGTTGTTGTTGTTGTTGTTGTTGTTGTTGCATGCAATTGTCGTTTAGTTGTGTTGGTGTGGGTGGGTTGCATCATACGTTGCGAAGAGCAAACGCACACATACACATACACACACACACACTCACTCACTCACTCACTCACTCACTCACTCACTCACACATACTCACACACAAACACACACAAACACACAAACCCACACAAACATTCACTCACTCACTGACACAAACACACAACGCACAAATACAATCCGACTGACCGCATGGGAGTAGACGGAGCTCCAGAGGTTGTAGATGGAGAAAGCAATGTAGGCAGCAAGCACGACGCCAGCGGCAATGAGCAGTTCAATGTCGGCCTCACCCGCCTCGTCCACGACATCAGACGTCGAGCGCCCCGTCTGGAAGTCCACGTGCTCCGAGGCAAAGGGCTCGTTCGACGCATACCCGGTCCCGGCCTCGGCCTTATACAGGGGCTCCAGGTATGCGATCATGCGCAACTCAAAGGTGCGGTGAATGCGCTCAAGCTCCTTGTCTGTGAGGTCGTCGCGGTTGAGGAGGGCCTCCATGCGCTGGCGGTACAGCGGCAAGTGCTCGTTCCAGTGGTTGGCAGCAGACCTGCTTGCACGCACGGCGGTGGCTGACACGTCACCGTACACCAGCTGTGTCGGCTGCTTCGTGCCGGACCACGTGAGCAGACACGCAGGCACGTCCTCGCCAAGGTCCTGGCCGCTCGTGTCCGTGTTGCCCAGGATACACATGGTGTTGGTGATTGTGCCGTTGTTGGTCGCGGCAATGCCTGCGAGCGTGGTGCTGAGCACCTCATCCTCTGCCAGCGCTTCGTACGACGGGCGATACCAGAAGCCGAGACCAGGGAACAGATTGATGCGGTTGCCAAGCTCCGTCTCCAGCACCGACGCCGTGCCCGCAGCCCGGGCGATAGCGCCCGCAAACTGCGACTGCAGCGCGGCAGGGACGGCCTCTGCGGTTGTGGGCGCGCTGTCGTTGTAGATGCTTCCGCCTGCGAGCACGAACGCCTGCAGCGCAGCGCCGGCAGCAACGGTGGAGGTTTGCCCACTGCCGATGGCGGTGAGGTAGGCATCCTCTCCAGCAGCAAAGGCATCAAAGTTGGCGCCCTGGTACGACGACAGCGACGGCAGCGAGTCAAAGTAGATGGCTGTTGTGCACACGCACAAGAAGCACACGCGTCCACAGGCGGAAGGGAAGTGGGTTGCGTCAAGGAGGTGGGGAGGACAAGCGGAAACGACATGTGGACATGTGTGAGTGGGTGTTGAGAGGAAGCGTAATTCAACCGACACACGGGGGGCATGCACACAGCGCGCCATCACGAAAAGGTGCCAGTGCGCGTATTGTACGGTGTCAGGGATGGCATGATTGTCAGTCAGGCTCGCACCTTCTTTCAGTGGCGTGAGGAACGCCTTGTCCATGCATTGTGCTTCATCCACAAACGGCTGGTAGAACGAGAGGGAGAAGAAAGCGCTGACAGAGGCGGAGATGCGCTCAAGGAAACGCATGTTGAGCGGAAGGTCGAACCCGCCCTCCTGGAACAGATCAACCGGCGTCACACGCGAGCAAGGGAACCTGAGCAGTGGTGCGTGGGGGTGCGGGGAGGGGAAGAAGGGAGGCAGGGAGGAAAGAAAAGGAGGGAGAGAGAAAGGTGCGTGAGAGCGTGTGTGAGTGTGTGTATGTGTGTGTGTGTGTGTGTGTAAGTGTGTGTGAGCGTGTGTGTAAGTGTGTGAGAGCGTGTGTGAGCGTGTGTGTGAGTGAGTGTGTGTGTGTGTGCGTGTGTAAGTGTGTCTGTGTGTGTGTCTGTGTGTGTAAGTGTAATTGTGTGATTCCGACAACAGCGGAGAAGAAAGCACGAGAACACACCACCCAGGACAACACAAGAGCTGCATGCGCAGCCAGTAGACGAAGACTGCACCAACCTGTCGATGCCCCACGAGCGGGGCAGCGGGCGGAGGGTGCCGTTAACGGTGGCGGTGGAGTCCATGAGCAAACCCGGCGTTGCTGCAAAGGCAATCACGCCCTGGATGATGTATGTGATGGCGCGCTGGGAGATGTCGTACAGCTCAATCGCCGCCGTGCTCACAACAGGCCGAATCTCAGACACGGTCGACAGCGACTGGACGGGTGGAGTGTTGGTTGGATGGATGGTTGGATGGATGGTTGGATGGATGGATGGTTGGTTGGTTGGTGGAATGGACGAATGGACGGAATGAGGGTGTGCAATGCAGCGTTGAAGCAGTTGAGGCCATCACACGGCGAAGCCAACAATCAACGGTATAACACACACACACGCACACACACACACACACGCACACACACACACACACACACACACACACGCACACACACACACACACGCACGCACACACGCACACACACACATGATGAAGCGAACGCGGAAACAAGTAAGGCACGCACCCCGCCGTTTGCGGTGTATGCGGTGCCGATGGCGTCGAGATAATCGTTTGAGTCGATGCTGCGGTTGGCCAGGATCAGCTGGAACGCAGTGCTCTTGGCAGCAGCGAGACCCGTCGCGCTCCAGTTTGCAGTCCGCTGCAGCACACAAAAGAGTGCAGCCAAGGTAAGGTATTGGGGAGCAAGTGACAGCAAGGACGATGCGAGGGACACGAACGTGGTCAAAACGAACAAGGGGCGGGTGTGTGTAAAGACGAGAATGCGTTGTTTGGAGACTTGTGCAGGAAGAAATAACACAGTGAGCTGGGAGTCAAAGCGGGAGTCAAAGTGGGATGGATGGGTTGTGATCTTGATGCATGTGTGACTGTGTGCACCTCAGCGTCGATGATGGTGGTGTAGAAGGCGTCGGCCGCGAAAAAGTACTGGAGAAATGCCGTCTCCTGCACAGTCGTGTTCGTCTGCAGCGTCACGCCCTGCGCAAGTTGCTGGAAGCCGCGACAGAGCAAGAGGTGGAGATAGGGTGTTGGGTGCATGTGTGCACATGCGTGCACATGCGTGCACATGTGAGATTAGTTGAGTAGTCATCAGGGTCACCACACAGTGCAGCAAATAGCCACAAACAGACACACAAAACGCACTCATTCGCAAACGAACACACTCCTCCCTCTCCCCTCACAAACGAACGTTAACCACCAACACATTTGACACCCACCTGTGCGAGATACTGTCTGGCGGCTGCCGTGCCGTTGGCGCTAAAGTGGTCAATCCCGTACGTGTTTGACGTGAGAAACGGATCCACGCTCTCGCCCTGCGCGATGACAACGTCAAACACAACCTCCTCCATGCGCTCGCGGTTTTCGTGCGTGTACTCTGCAACACACGCGGCAACGGCCTGGTAGCCGTAGCTGATGAAGTTTTGCTGGCGGGCAAAGTAGTACTGCACAGCGCTGAACGCAGACACAACCGCGCGAGACACGGTCACGGCAATCGTCAATACTTCCTCGCCACGCTGGGCAACCGTGGAGGCAGCCTGAAAAACAGAAACGAATACACGCGTGCATGTGAGTGCAGACATATGGGTGTGTGTGTGTGTATGTGTGTGTGTGTGATGAGGGAGGTCGAAGGGAGCGCAGATGGAGTTTGAGGGAGTTTGCAAAATCGCTGTGTCGTGCACACGATACGTTGCACATGTGAAGGATGAAAAGCACGTTGTCTGGTAATGTGTACATCAAGCTCAAGCACGCACAAGCACGCACAAGCACACAAGCACACGCAAGCATGCACTTACTCACACGTACACACGCGCACACCCGTACATGCACATATGATCAAAACAGAGCAAAACACTACTGACCACAAGGGAGAGGCCGTCAGCGCCGGCAACACTGGTGTAGATGGCCTGCAGTTCCGCTGCTGTCCTGTTTGAGTCCACGGCAACTGCCCTCCACAGCTTTTCAAGGGCAGCAGTGTCGAGGGAGCTGTTGATGGCGCTAGAGGCCGGGGCACCGACTTGCGCCGCGAGCTCAACGTAGGCAGCAAGTCCCGCTGTCACCAGGTCGCTCCTGTTCTGGCTTGCCTCGTATTGCTGGATTACCGTCTCGCTGACGGTTACAAGCGTGTCGAGATCGACCGTGTTGCTGTACACCTGCCCTCCACTCAGCGCAGCCTAGCCATGCGTCCAAGCACGCACGCAGTTTTAGTGTGTGTGTGTGTGTGTGTGTGTGTGTGTGTGTGTGTGTGTGTGTGTGTGTGTGTGTGTGTGTGTGTGTATGTGTGTGTGTGTGTGTGTGTGTGTGTGTGTGTGTGAACGTACAGGGAAGCGCAATGCAGGTGGAACGGGGCCGAGCATATGCATCAAGGAATGAAGGCGCCGGGTTATACTCTCATCCATGCTCCACATACGTCGGCGTCAGCGAGGGCCTCAGCAAGGGCGGCCTGGTAGACGGGCTTCTCCTGGGCAACGGGTTCCGCAGCCGGCACAGACTCTTGCTGCACACACACACACACACACACATGATGAACAGGGTGTGAACGTGTCGTGGGGTGTAATGCGGCGCGTTGTCGACAAAGTTGTTTCGTCAAGGTGCAAGCGTGAGAGGAACAATGGGATTGGGGGGCGTGGAAGGTGTTGCGTGGAAGGTGTTGACGTACGGTGCTTGGGGCGAGAACAGACGGCACCGGCGGGGTCTCACACAGGTCCTTCTGGTAGATAGTCACATCGATGGGGCTGCCAGACTGCAGGAAACAAACAATTGAACACAATGCATGGAAATTGAGATGGAGCAAAGGAGATGGGTGGATGGGTGGATTGAGATGGGGTGGGCGATCCGTTGTCAAGAGTAAAACCGAGGATTGGGCGTGCTTCATGTCACGTCCTGAAATGTCAACTCACCTCGTTGCGTCCAGGCCATGTGATGGACAGCTGGTCCTCGCTGGCTGCCGTCTTGTTGCATGTGCAGTACAAGGACTCTGAGGCAAACGGCTGCTGAACACACAGCGCGGGCGCAGTTGTTGTGTCGCCGTCGAAGGACAAACACGCGTCTGTCTCGTCATGCTTGAAGATGGGCGTCAGCGTGTGGATGATGCTGTCAAAACTGCAAATGTGGATGTCAATAACACATGAACACGTGTGTGTATAAATGTGGCGATAGGTTTGTGTGAGATAAATCAGCGTGTTCGTGGCTTGGTCGACCGCGATCTCGTGTGCACAGCGCAAGCGCGATCACATTTGAGTGCGGTTACCTGGTAGACGTTGCGACGTTGTTGCTATCTGAGGTGTAGAGTGCAATCTGTTGGCGGGACAGGCCAAAGTGCTGGTTGAACAGCTCACGCTCGCCCTGCAGCCGAGATCCTTCTTGCACATCTGTCAGGAAGAGATTCAGGTGGCGTGGGGAAAAAGGGAGGGGGGCAGCGTGGATCGTTAAGGAGGGGGGAGTGTATGTGTGTGTGTGTGTGTGTGTGTGTGTGTGTGTGTGTGTGTGTGTGTCTGTCTGTCTGTCTGTCTGTCTGTCTGTCTGTCTGTCTGTCTGTCTGTCTGTCTGTCTGTCTGTCTGTGTGTCTGTCTGTCTGTGTGCGCGCGCGTGCGTATGCACATACACGCACACTTACAGAGCTTGGTGATTTCATTTTCCTCGGAATAGAAGAGGAAGAGCCCGGGCACGCAGCCACCGATGATGAGGGCGCCGAGAAGGAAGAGCAATGGCGCAAGGAACTTGCGCGTGGCAATGGCGTTGCCGAGCCCCGCAAACACTCGCGTGTTGGAGCGAAAGCACCACTCCTGCAAGAACATGGCGATGCTGGCGCTTGTGTTGTCTCCTCCAAGTGGTCCTCACAGTGCGCGCAGATCGTCACAAGCAGACGGCAGGACAGACACCAGCGTGCACAGCGGTGCTCGCAGTCTCTCTCAATCGACTGCCCCACGAGACAGTGACAAACTACGCCACACACGCGCACGCACACGCAAAGGGGGAGGGGGTGATGCTCCCTGCTAGGGTTCGCGCTGCTGCTAGCTCTTGGCTGCCTGCGTGTGTCGGCGAGCGACTGTTTGAATGGGAGCAAGTCTGTCGTGGGCGGGAAGGGAGGAACTACAACAGTCGGCTGGCAAGTGCGCAGGTGGGTGGGGTTGTTTTGCGAAGAAGGGGTGTGGCAATACTCCAACGCACAGCGGATTCCATGCAACTTTAATTTTCATGGGTTTTGTGCTCCTCTCAAGCAAGCAAGCAAGCAAGCAAGCAAGAAGCAAGCAAGACTCATCTGTCTCATCCTCCCTCCCTCCACCCAACAAAGTCACAAGTGGTTGGTTGTGTTGGTTCTGTTGGTTCTGTTGACATTATATTGGTGAGAGACAAAGCCATCATGGAGACAATGACGGCACGCGACCTGCGCGTGATTTCTGTTGTTCAGACAAGGAAGAGCGACAACAACGCGGGAGACAAACTGATACAAACCACGCACACCCAACAACCGGCAGCACCAGCCTGCAACTGGCTGGTTGGTTGGTCTATTGGCGGCGTGGTCGATCGTGGTTGGCGCTGCGCTGGCGCAGTGAACAGGGCCAGGGGCCACGCCACTGCACGCACGCACCTGCGTGCTGCTGTGCAAACTGCCATGCATGCACGGACACCAAGGACAATCACACAGAAGTGCATGTATGATGTGACAACATACAGAATACAGGGATAGAAACAAAGTTGAAGGGTGACAGAGACAGACAACGTGAGGAGGGGTAAGAAAGCGAGTGAGAGAAGGCCTGCCGCACACGTGGGAGAACACAGAAAAGAAATCAAGTACAAAGAAACGAAAAGGAACAAACGAACAAAAACAAAACAAAAGACACGTAGACGTACATGCAATCATACAAACATACAAATTAAGCACCAACCAAGCGAACAAATACAAACACGCACAAGCGCACACAAACACGCACATGAACAATGGCACAACCAACACCTGCTTGCCATCAACAGGGAAACAATACCGGTCAGGCAGCCAGCGACGCCGCAAGGGCAAGGGCAAGGGCCGTGCTTGTCCCCGCAATGACTGTGCATGCATGCTTGACAGCGAAGCGCAAAGAAGCATTGACACACGCAACAACGGCAAGAGAGGACATGCCTCACAACATGCACGCTTCATGGCTTCTTACCCACAACAAGCAGCAACTGCACTCACGCAGCTTGCGCGGTGGACAAGGGGCAAGGGGAGGTCAAGCCAACCCGCACGGCGGTTCGCCCAACCGTGCAAGTGCAAGCACGACCACCGCTGCCACCCACACGTCGCCACGCGACGGCTGTGCAGGCCAGGGCTGCAAGGAGCACTGCTGAAGCTGCTGCTCCGCATGTGCCGCGCCATGCAAGGAGCAACATCAGATATTGCCACGCGTGGGTCAAAGCGTGAGCGCTGAGTGCACGGTGTGCCGTGTGCGTGTATAAAGGTGGAGAGAATAGACATGAGAGAAGAACAACAAAGCCCACGAGGGATTCAAGAATGGTCCAAAAGGGAGGAGAGAAGGCATAATGTAATCAAGCACCCAAGGCGTGCTGGTCTTACGCAGACTCGCCCACAACAGCGCCTCCTTGTTGATGCTGCTGCTGCTGCTGCTGTTGATGCTGCTGCTGCTGCTGCTGCTGATCTTGCTCTTGCCCTTGCTGTTCTTGTTGCGCCTGGGAGAGCCTGCGCTCAAGTGTGGAGACTTGCGCGTCCTTTTCCTGCAAGCGGGCAATCAGCTCTTCCCGTGACATGGCGCCGTAATCCTCGTGCATGCAGTCTTCAAACGCCTCCTCAAACTCGTCCTCCTCAGATGAGTCCGCGGGCGACGCCGGCCCATCCATCGCCGCCGTTGCTTCCGATGCGCGCGTGTCCATACCTTCATCCATCCTTGCGCCTGCTGGCGTCGTTGCCATGTCCGGGCCCGCGTGGGCATCCATGCTGCCGTCCATCTGCGTCGCGTCAGCGTGCTGCGACTTGCTTGCCTCGCGCTGCTGCCGCTGCTGCTGCTGCTGGTGATGGTAGCTGTCGTCGTCTTCGCTATCGCCGTGGTCCTGGGATGTCAGCCGAGCGAGGCCGAGGCGCTCCTCGCGCTCGTCCATGATGGTTGCTCCCGTCAGGCGCGGTGCAATTGGCAAGGCAACGGTGCCCTTTGTGGTGCTCTTCTGCAAGCGGGAGAGGGCGGCCGTGTTGGCGGCGTCGGCCTGCTGCGCCTCCCGCTCCACCAGGTCGCGGCGCTCCTCCCACGTCAGCTCGGCGTAGGGCTTCCATCGGCGCGGCTTGCGCTTGCCATGCGCGCGCTTGTTGCCGTATGTCTTGCGGCCGCCCATGCGCGGGGACGCCATGCGGCGCGGGGCAGAGGCATCCCACTCCTTGTCATGCTGGGGATCGGATGTGGTCCGGAGTGATGATGTGTCAGCGGAAGACTGATGATGGCACTGGGTACCCTCCATCGCAACGCACTCAGTTGTTACCTGCGGCGTGGGGTCGGGCGCGTCTTGGATGGCGTGTGTCTCACCCCAAGAACCGGCCTTGGGCGCACAACAGCAAGTTTGCGGGCCGAGCGGTGGTGGTGGGGGTGGTGGGGGTGGTGGAGGTGATGAGAAGTGGGGGTGCGGTGGTGCAGATGTGGTTGAGGGTGACAACAGAGCGGGTGTCAAGGCGGATTGGTGTTCAAAGGGAACAGAGGCACAAACGAAGTGCGTGTGAGCGGAATGTTGGCGTGTACGGGTGGCGGTGGCTGTGGTTGTGGCTGTGGTTGTGGGTTCAACAGGGCGCAGACAACGATGTTGCCGGTTGCTGTGGCAGCGGCGGTTGCGATTGCGGCAACGGTTGTTGTGGTGACGGCGCCCGCGGTTGTTGCGGCGGCGCTGCTTCGGGCTTCCTTGGCGCTGGCGTGGTGACGCTGGCGAAGGCGTCGGCAAGTGTGACGCGGCACTTGTGGCTGGTGATGGTGGAGGAGGAGAAGGATGGGACGCATGAAAAGGAGGTGAGCACAGCGGAGGGGCAAGTTGACGTGGTGGGGTGGGTGGCGCCGTTGGTGTAGGCAACAAGAACGATTGTTGTTGCCGGCAACAAGACGCTGTGTAAGAGGAGGCAGAGGGAGAGATGGGTGCCAAGAGCGGTGGTGCCATGGTGGAGAGATTTGGACAGGGTGTGGTAAATGAGACCGAGAGGGAAAGTGTGATGTGCGAACAAGAGGGATGTGGACGAATGCCCAGGCGGGCGAGAGAGATAGAGACAGAGAGACAGGGAGACAGAGAGACGGAGAGACAGAGAGACAGAGGCAGAGATAGAGAGACAGAGACAGAGAGAGCCGGAAGCTGAAACGTAAACAAACACAACCGACAAGAGCAGAAGGTTGATGATGGGAACACTTTGGGGCACGCAGAACGGTATGGGCTGGTTCGTGGCACCAGGAGAAAGAGTCAAGTGGAAGGGGAACGCAAAGCGGTTCACAATAAAACCACTTGGCAGCACAGAAGTTCAAAGGAGAGGCAAAGGAGGCAGAGAAGGGATACCCACCAAGAGCGTGAACGTGTGCAGGCAGGAGATGTTGTTGGTTGGTCGCTTGGTTCCTTGCTTGCTTGCTGTTCGTGTATTTGGTGTGTGAGAAAATGGCTGTAGTTGTTGTGCGTGCATTGTTGTTGTTGTTGATGGGTGGGTGGAAACGTTCGCAAGCAACGGGCGGAAAATTGTGTATGTCGTGGCCAAATATAACAACGCAGACAGTCAAGCAAGGGAGAAGAGTGAGGTAAAAACAAACAACGCAACAGCAACACACACACACACACACATACACACACACACACACACACACACACACACACACACACACCAGCACACACACACACACACACCAGCACACGTGACTACATGAGGAGCTTGTTGGGCTGCTTTTTGTGAATGTGGTCGTGGGCGCGCGTGGCAGCTTGAGCAACGTGCTGATCAAACACGCCGTGCGTGACTTGGTACCCTTTGCCACGTGACTCTCTCACTTCCTCGCACGTTTGGAAATACGTCTCCTGCGCAAACGTCTTGTTCCCATACACAGTAAACGGCCCGCGCTGCAGCACGGCCTCCGACACGCTCTCCTAGATCATACAAAGGAGTGTGCAAGTAGGCGTATGCAGGCGTGAGCGTGAGCAAGTGTGTTTTTAGGGTGAGCATGTGTGTGTTTGGATGATTGTCAGAGGGATAACGAATGCACAAACACGATCACTCACGCACACGCACACACGCACACACACGCACACACATACAAACACACACATACACACACTCTCTCTCCCCCTCACACACACACATACACACACACTCACGCACACGCACACACACCTCGTCGCTGAGTAAAGTTTGGCGGGCCCACATGAGGTCGATTGGGAAATGCCGCTCTGGCACCATGCCTTTGCGAAGCATGCCATACACGGGGTGCTGCAGCGTGTCCTTGTCCATCTCAGAGCCTGGCCGCCCCCCAAAACAACAAAAGCAACCAAGCAACAATGTGGCAATGAAGACAGGTGGTAACGTGCATCGGCAACAACACATACAAGAACAACAAAAAAAAAAAGCAATACATCTTTGAGTGGGAAGCGCAAAAAACATAGCAAAAAAGCACGCATCACAATCACATCACAAGACAGCGCTTCACACATACACAGGCATAAGCACAGGCACATATGTACAAGCACACAAGCAGCCACGCACACCATCACGCACACACGCACTCATGGTGTTGAGGATGCCATCCAACTCGACGAGATTCCTAGCTGACGGCTCCGTGGTGGGCGGCTGTGGGGGCGCCGCGGCATCAAAGTTGAGCAGCAGCTCCTTGTTCACCTCGAGCAGCTGCGGTCCCAAGTACGCCAGCATACGCTGCCACGACTGTGTGTGTGTGTGTGTGTGTGTGTGTGTGTGTGTGTGTGTGTGTGTGTGTGTGTGTGTGTGTGTGTAAGTGTGTGTGTGTGTGTGTGTGTGTGTGTGTGTGTGTGTAAGTGGGCACTCGTCAGGTGAAGGAGTATGACGAAATGACGTTGGTAAAATATAACCAACCATGTCTGGGGGGGGGGTGAGCAGTTGACACAGTGGACACGACAATACAAAGCCAAACAAACAAAACAGCTAGCGACGACGTTTCAAATCCTTCACACACACGTTCCCCATGACGCGCACACACGCGCTGTACTCTGCAACTGCTTGCAGCACAGCACGGGCGCATGGCTCGTACCTCGTGTGACTGGTTTGGTGCGCCAATGCACAGGAACAGCATGTTCTCCACCTTGTGCACATACAGCGTGCACTCCATGGTGGGCGTGGCTGCACCTGTGTCTGCTTTCCCGTCTGCACTGCCGCTTGTGAATGACTCGTCTGCAACACCGTCAGCATCACCTTTGTTGTCGTCGCCATCATCATCACCATCACCATCGCCATCGTCGTCGTCGTCGTCGTTGGCAGCACAGTTCTTGCCATCATCGTGCGCGCTCGTCCCTGAAGCAGACGCATCGCTTGCCTCAGTCTGTGTCCTGGGGGTGTCGTGCCCGCTCGGCAAGGGATGAGATTCCTTCCCCACGCCGTGGATATCATCGCCTACGGCTTTCCCTTGTTTCCTGTCCTGCGTATCCTCCGCACTCCTCTGTCCTTCTTGCACTTGCGTTTGCGCATCATCTTTCCTGCCGCCCCCCTTTGTGTCCGGCTGCTTCTCCACCATGTCATCCTCCTCACCCGCATCATCCTCTGCATCCGCATCGCTTGCTTCCATTCCTTCCCCATCACCATCATCCTCGTCATCACCCTCCTTGCCAACATCATCGCCGCCGCTATAACCATCACTACCATGCTGTGTGATGGGGTGGTTTGGTGACAGCCCTGGGCTGCTGCTGGCGCTGTTGCTGCCGCCCTGTGTGGCGCTCACATCCCCGGGCCGTCCACTGCCTTTGCCAATCGGAGTGGACGTCAACACGGGGCCGTCAGATACCATGAGGTGGTCGTGCACGCGCTGCCCGTGCGAATGCGAGTGAGAATGCGAGTGAGAGTGCGAATACATGTTGTGTGACGAGCGCACTGGTGTCTGCACGTGCTCGGGGGCTGGGTGGTCGGCTTCAAACCCGATGGGCTCTACAGGGAGCGACGGATCCGTAGTGGCCGCCTCCCACAGCGGCTGTGCAACGTGCACAGGCACGATAAACGCAGACTCGGACGCGCCGTCCAGTATCGTGTAGTCGGACACGATACGCATGCGCTGGCGAAACGATGACGCAATTCCTTCACTGGACTTGATTGCCGGCCTTCCACGCGCCAGCACACTCCCTGTGTGTGTGTGTGTGTGTGTGTGTGTGTGTGTGTGTGTGTGTGTGTGTGTGTGTGTGTGTGTGTGTGTGTGTGTGTGTGTGTCAGGAATTAGGACAGTGAGTGAGAATCCTCTCACGATGTGTACACGGAGAGAAGCTCCTGTTTTCTACGAGGTCTCGTGGTCCCCTTCGCTGCCCCACCTACCCTGCCCTGCTTGCTTCCCACGTACATGGTCGGGAGGCTGGCGTCGCTTGGTCTGGAATGACGCTTGACGGAAACTTGTACATCACAACCTGCAGTGGTCCAACCCACGTCGTGAAACAGAGAGCTTTTGTGGTGAGAAAGCACAGCGATTGGCCAACTGTGCCAGGCACATGGGTGGTTGAAATACATGAACAAGCTTGCTGGTGTGCACGTGGACTGCGAGAGAAAACTTGCTTTCTGCTCCTTCAACTGAAAACAAACAAACAGCTTCAACACAACCACAAGCACAGCCGAAGAACAAAACAAGAACAAGACAGTAGCAGCAGCAGCAGCAGCAGCAGCAGTGACTTCATGACACACGTACGGATGAGTCTGCAAACGCGGCTTGATTGGCCACGTGGAACAGTAGCCCGTACTTCATCATCTGCTGACACAATTCTTTTCCTTCATCGCGTGTTGCTGCTAGCCCTGTGCATGTGCGTATGTGTGTGTGTGTGTAAGTTTGTGGAGGTGTGAGTAAGAGGGAAAGAGAGAGAAATGGTGAGCGTCACCAGGCAGTGTGTGTGTGTGTGTGTGTGTGTGTGTGTGTGTGTAGGTGTGTGTGGAGGTGTGAGCCAGCGTATTCGTAAGCGGAAGTGTGTTGACCCCTTGTCAAGCAAGTGTGAATGATGCGTTTGTGCCGCCATCACGAACCGAGCTGTTGCAGGGCGGAGACAATGACTTCTCCAGCCACGGTGTCTGGGTCCAAAACGTCGTAGTACATGTCGTAGTGCTCTCCAAAGCTCTTCTTCTGCAGAGGCGGTGAATGAGGAGGCGCACATGCATGCGTCGTGTGTACATGATATCAGGGAGAGGGGGGAGAGGTATCTGACGCGTAATGCCAGACACAACGCAAACACAACGAAGACACAACGCAAACACAACCATCTACACACACAACCAAACCAACAAACACATACAAGCCAACAAACACAAAACGCACAAAAAAAAACACACACATCTATCTACACATCCACATCCACATCCACACGCACACATACACATACACATACACATACACACGCAGCCACAAACACACAACGGACCTCCTCGAGGTATGGGACAAGGCGCCGAGCAATGGCCGTGAGCTGTTTGCGATGCAGCTCTGCCAATGCACATGATGCGAACATGATGCGGGTGGGGCGTTTGAATGCGCACGTGAGCGCTGTCCAAGATGCAGGCTGGTGGAGAAGGGGCGCTGCGTCCAACATGGTCCAATCACCAACCACCTCATCATCCTAATGCACACACATCCACAAGACATACATCCACATGCTCACACATCCACAAAGACACACATCCACATGCTCACACATGCACAAAGACACACATCCAAATGCACACATCCACATGCACACGGACATACTCATGCCATACCTCCGTGCGTTGCGCTTGTCTGCAGATATGCATCAGCACGGAGTGCGAGCGTGGTGCGTGTGAGCACAGCAATGATTGCAAGCACAAAAACGCAGGTGACACGAGAGCACCCGCTTCAATGTAATAACTCGACATCAGCACGGGAACAACAGCGCGTGTGTGCAGGGGCTGGCACCTCTCTGTGGGAAAAGACGAGCGAGTGGTTCAGCAGCGCCCATGGCATGCGGTGGCAAACCACCCTACAACAAGTGCGAGTGCAGGCGCGACGAATCGCACGTGGGCATGAGGCGATGGAAGACAATGGAGGGGGTGGTGGTCGGTGTGGTTGTGATAGGTGGTGCGCAGGTGCTGCTTTCGCTGTGCAGAAACATTGTGTAGTGACTGCTTTCGCTGTGCAGGCCCAAGCAATAGCCCCTTTCGTCACGTGAAAGACCCTACTTGTCCTTGAAAATGACAGCGGCCCATGGGGTGTGATGCTTGCTGGTGACAGAGGCGATGAGCTGGGATGCCAGCACGTAGTAATGGTTGTTGGCCTGCCAGCACATCCACATCCGTGATTGAGTACGAGGATCGCGAAAGAAGCGCGGGTGGAGGGAGGGAAGAGGGAAGGGAAAGAAGGGAGGCAGACAGACAAGGGCGGAGACAGACAGACAAAACCAGAGATAAATAAGGACATCACGCACACACGCACACGCATATCTTACACATAGTTACACACAGTGACAACACACATGCACACGCACAACCCATCACGGGAAGAAAAGCATGCGATGCACGGGATCGTACGCCAGAGATGTTGAGCCGTGGTGTTGGCGCCAAAGCCCAGAACAGTTCATCCTTAACAGGGTGCACGTGTTGAAGGATGGGCGCAAACACTTGCTTGCACTTGTGCTGCAACAAACCGAGCATCATGGGGTCCTGTGCATTGAATGCGGGCAAAAGAGTGAGAAGGGGGCATGCATTCGAGGGGCGAGCACACACGAGGCCTTGGCCAGACAACAGATGTCCCACACAACCAACACCGCTGGCCACAATCTTGGGGGACATGTGTACAATCACGACAGGCAAGCACTGTCAGCACACGCATGCACAGACACAAGCACAGGCGCGACACCTTGCGATGCCGCCCTTGAGCGGTCAGCTGGCGAAAGTGCTGGTACGACTTGTGAAAGAACCGAAACATGGCCAAGATGCGCCCAAGCTGAGCAATCGCAACAATGTCTGGCACTTCAACGCTCGTTCCCAGTGCCTATTGTCATATGCAACACGGTCGTGGCGGTGATGAGATGGCTTGCCAGCAGCGTTTGCCGAAGAAGCGACTTGAAGAAGCGAGTGGAAGGAAGCGAGCAAGCCAATGCTGAAACAAGGGCACAGTGTCGCCAGCCCATGCGGATGTGTGCATGACTAACCATTGTGACGTCGTCCTCGTACCACGTGGCGATCTTGATGTCGGAGAACACAAGCACGTGGGGCTTGCCCACAGGCAAGGTGTTGTCCAGGTGCGAGTAGTTGACCACGGGCCGCACAATGCCATCCTGGTGTGTCGTGCGTTCAGGAAAGCGAAGAGTGGATGAGCCGTTGAAGGTGTGCATGTGTGTGTGTGTGTGTGTGTGTGTGTGTGTGTATGTGTGTGTGTGTGTGTGTGTGTGTGTGTGGGTGGGTGGGATCGGCTGGTGAGCGTGGTTTACACGTGTACCTTTTGCTGGTATGTGAGATGATGTGTAGCTTGAAAGTACACGAGCCCGGCCATGGCGCTCTCCTCATCTGACGGCTGTACCTTCCTGTGCATGTGTGTGTTTGTGGGGGGGGGGGGTGTGTCAACATAATGTTAGGTGGGGAGTGTGCCTGCACTTTGTGCCTGAGCTTTGTGCCTGCACTTTGTGCCTGCACTTTGCGCCTGCACTGTGTGTGTGTGTGTATGTGACCGTGGGGTGCACACTCACGCATCGTGTAGAAAGAAGAAGGAGCCATCTGTCCACCGAGTGCTGCTCGATACAAGGACCTCCATCGTCGTCCCTTTTGCTCAAATGGCAAGCGACAGAGACTGGGTGACTGGGTGAGAGCGGAGAGTGAGCTGTAAAGTTGTTGTCTGTGTGTGTCACAACAACAACATCAACAGCAACAGCAACAACAGCAACAACACAGGCGCGCCCACGATGTTGGAGGACAGCGACCAGAATAAAAAAACAGCAGGAGGGTAGGATTCCAACCTCAGACTTTCAACTTTTTCACCCACACGTCAAACGTGACAGTTTTCTTGCTTCGCTATTTTTTTTTTCTTCTCTCCTGCAACTCAACTCACAGTCACACACACTCACAAAACGACAAGACGCAAGCAACAAGCAGGAAGCAAGAGAAGCAAGACGAGCAACCCTTCATCCCTTCATCACAGCCCCTTGTTGTTGATTCAAGCAACTTGATCGAGGTGAACAGACCCCCCCCAACGGAACAAGCGACGCACCACCTGTCTGCTGTTGTACGCAAAAGTCGAGGAAACAAGAAGCGACAGACCTTCCGAGATGGCTGGCACAGCGATCGCTTTTCTCAAGAGCTATCCGCTCTCCAACTTCCCTGCGCCTGAAGCAATCATCACAGTGAAGGAAACAGACACCATTGCATCTGCCCTCAAGACGCTCTCTGCCAACGACATCCTGTGCGCCCCCGTGCTCTCGGACGATGGAAGGTGAGCGCCTCTTTTGTGTGTGTGTGTGTGTGTGTGTGTGAGAGAGAGAGAGAGTGTGTGTGTGTGTGGATGTGGATGTGGATGTGGATGTGGATGTGTGCACTTGTGTGGATGTGGATGTGTGTGTGTTTCAATGTCTGTCTGTGTATCTCTGTCAATGTCTGTCCATCTGTCGTCTGTCTGTCATGTGGATCTTCTTCGGTGGCCGTTGTTTGCATTTCCATGTGTGGGTGCGCGCATGCTGCTGCTGTCAAAATGCTTTGATCCCACCGTTCATCTGTCTCTAGTTTTGTTGACGTACGCCCTTGTTGTTCGACAAGTTGGATGCACAGTGTGAGGTGGCGACCCCATCTGCGCAACCCCTTCACTGACACTCACCGTGGATGTTGCACACACACACACACACATGCACACCCGCACACACGCACACACACACACACACACACACATTCATGCATTGATCATACTCGCAGCTGTGTCGGCTTGATCGACATGTCCGCGATCCTGCGGACAATCCTTCACCCTCTGGCGAACGTCAAGGACAAGCGCACTGTTCTGGAGGACCTGGTCGCCCTGGACGCCATTGTGCAAAAGCCAATCAAATCCCAGCCAAGTTCGTCCTTGAAATGTGACAGAGAGACATGAGAGAAGACGAGGCCGTGCATGAGAACGAAAGAGAAGGAGGCGCGAAAAGGAGTGTGTGTGTGTGTGAGTGCGACAGTCTGTGTAGGTGCGCGTGGTGAGCCCGACAAGAGTCAGAGCGGATGTGTTTTGTGCGTCTTTGCTTCTGCCCGTATGCCTGTTGTCCGTTTGTGTGCATGATGGTTGCGTCCGGGCCAGTGTGCTTGTGTTTCTCTCTGTGTGTTTTGTTTTATGTTACATTACCGCTCCTCTGCCTCTTGTACCTCGTTGCCCAGTCGTGTGGTTGATTGCGAGCAGCGTCTGCTCGTGCTGCGCTCGCAAGATTTCAGCTGTCTCACGCACATGCGTGTCTGTGTATCTGTATGTGTGCACTCTGTGTGGTCCGTGTAGGCCTGTATCTGCAGGAGGACATGGAGCTTGTGTCGCACAAGGGCTCACTGCTGGATGCATGCAAGCTGCTGGGCACGATGAACGTGCATCGCGTGATTGTGGTGGATGACGACAACAACATTGTCAACCTCATCACCCAGAGCGCCGTCGTGCGCGTGCTGGCAGATAACCTGCCCAAGCTGCAGCCCGTCATCAACAAGTCCCTGCGCGAGATTCGCCTGGCCACCCCTTCCACCATCGTCTCTTGCCCAGCTACATGCACCACCATCGATGCGTTTGAGCACATGTCAAAGCACGTATGTTTTGTGTGTGTGTGTGTGTTGGGGGGATGTTGGTGTGTGATGTGTTGTGTAATACTACTTGTGCTGCGTGTGAGTGCTGTGCACATGTGCGTACGTTGTATGATGAGTGGGGGCTGGGTGTTTCTTTGTATGAGCTGGCAGCATCATTGTGCATCAACACGTACGCACGCAAAAACTCACTCGCACACATACACATGCTTACACACACACATGCACACACGCACTCTCTCTCTCTCTCTCTGTCTCACACGCGCGCGCACACACACACACACACATACTCACACTCACACACACACACACACACACACACACACACATACTCACACACACTCACATTTCTCTTCCCCATCCCCTGTCCTTGGCTTTTGGGTGCAGGAGGTGTCTGCGATGCCTGTGCTTGACGATGAGAACCGGATCTTGGGCAATGTGAGTGTGCGCAGTCTCCGCGACCTCATCAGCAACCCTGCCTCTTACCGCACCCTCAAGCGGCCCGTCACCGAATTCCTCACCACCGTTGTCCCAGATACAAGTGCGTGCCGTTTTGTTTTGTGTGCTTGCGTGCGCCCTGGTGTGTCGTCGTCGTCGGTGTTTGTTGTTGTTATTTAAGTAGTTGTTGTTGTTTAAGTTATTTAAGTAGTTGTTGTTGCTGTTGTTGTTTAAGTTGTTGTTGTTTAAGTTATTTAAGTAGTTGTTGTTGTTGTTGTTGTTTAAGTTGTTGTTGTTGTTGTTGTTGTTGTTTAAGTTGTTGATGGGCTAGTTCTGTGAGGACACACCTGTCCATGTTTGACTGCTTGTACTCGTGGTGGTATTCGCTCACTCACACTCACGCACACACGCACACGCACATACACGCACATACACAACCAACCCAAACACCCTTTCCTCCGACAGTGCGTGACGAGATGGTGCCTGCCATCACGTGCAAGACCAGCACCACCATGGACATTGTGGTGCAGCGCATGTCCATCTCACGCATCCACCGCATCTACGTGGAGGACGAGCAAGGCAACCTCCTGCGCATTGTGTCCCTCAGCGACGTCCTCGCCGCCCTCGTCACCCCAGACGCCTCGTGAAGGAAAGGAAGGGAAGGGTGACGACCACAATTTTTGGTGTCTTTTTTGCATCGTTGCTTCTTTTTCTTTTTCTTTCGTCGGTTTGGATTTGATGTGATGTGACATGATGTGACGTTTATTTTTGTCATTGCGGAAATAAACTGGAAGATGTTGACGAGGGAGTGGCACTGACACTGGATAATTTTTCGGCGGATGGGAGAAACAACCCCAAAAAAACAACAAAGAAGCCAACGACAAAAGCCACAAGGAACAAAGGGCAACAAAAATTCCCTTGCGGTGGATCCAGCAACCACTCCGTCGCAGGCCATTTTTTCATTTGCGGCTTTGCTGCCATCTGCCGTCGTCGTCGCCGCCGCCGTCCTGCAGGCTTGCAGACAGAGACAGAGAGACAGAGCGCGTACCCACAGATACATCACGCATCCCCAAAAGCACCAGCACCAACATCAAGATGGAGCAGCCCTGGCCCGATGGCTTTCTCGATGCTTTTCCACCGTCTTTGGCAGACCTCTTCCAAGGCGACCTGCAGGCACCCATCCCCAATGCTGCCTTTGCGGACAGCTCAGACTTACCCATGATGGGTGGACAGCCAGCACAGCAAGGACAGCCAAACGTCGACGGCACTGATGGCACCCAAGGCTCTCCATCCCTGCTTGCTGGAGAAGCTGAAGGTCTGCGTTTTTCCCTGCCGTACGACGTGGACGACGTTGATCAGCTCTTCATGCCCAGTGACCAGCACCTGCAGCAGTCCCTGTCTGATGGTTCTTCTGTTTCCAGCGGCAGACCCTTCTCCAGTTGTGAAGCCCCATCACCGGTGACACCTACTACGCCGCTCATTCCGCCAATGACGTCGCCGCAACAGCCAACGGCACAGGTCCAAGAGCTCGCCTACATGCAGCCGCAACAAGACCGAGAGCTCGCCTACACGCAGCCGCCGCAGGATCAAGCGCCTGGCTTCTTCATGCCGCAGCAAGACCGAGAGCTCGCCTACACGCAGCCGCCGCAGGATCAAGCGCCTGGCTTCTTCATGCCGCAGCAAGACCGAGAGCTCGCCTACACGCCCACGTTCACGCCGCAGGATCAAGTCTATGACGACATGTCATCGACACCAAGTACGCCGACTTCGAGTACGGCGTGGCTCTCTTCGCCCTTGTCTCCGGCCAGCACGACAAGCAGCAGCAGCAGTGAGGCGAGCCCTCAAGCTCCGTTCCCACCGACCGTGGCGGATTTGGAGTTAGCTGTACTGATGGCAGCACCCGAAGGCCAGGTGGACCTGGTGGCCAAGCTGCAGGCACCGCCACACAACATTCGCTTTTCGTCCGAGTTTCTCGAAATCATTCCATGTTTGGCGTGGCTGAGCGGTGAAGTGCTTCTCGTTCGCGCGCAACAGAAGAACAAGGACGGACATGTCTCCCGCAAGAAGCGCCCTGCCGACGTGGAAGCAGGCGTCAACCTTCGTGCTGTTGCTCGCTTCATCCTGCACGAGATCACAGGCTTTCCATCGAACGCAGATGGCAGCCTGGTCCACAGCCTGGCCCACCTCCAATCCATCTTCTCCGAGCTGCCACCCCAGTACCAGCTGCCAGCCCAGCCCGAAGTGTCGCGTACACCTCCAGTCCTGGACGGCCCTGTGGAGCACGTTGCTTCCCTGCTAGCTGCACTGGCCTCAACCGAGTTTGTGCGTCGTCTGCAGCTCCTGTGCGATCAGCTCGGTTGCGCTGACAAAGACAACATCCTGCGTATCATGCGCTTCGTCGCGGCCAACCGCTCGCCGACTCAGCGCGAGAAGGGCACTTTGCAGTACATCCTGAAGCAGTGCAACTCCAAGAATGAGATCCAGAACATCATCAACTACATCTCCGGCGCCCAGTACAACGCCATCAAGCGCATGGTGCCCAAAGGTGTCAAGCGCGACCCAAAGTACTCGCAGGCCGTCCGCCGCACTCGCTTGGCTTTTGGCTCGCCCGTCGACGACACGGACGTCCCGTCCACCAAGCGGGCCAAACAGGATTGACCTCACGTCAATCCACCCCCTTCTTCTTTGCGTGTGGATCACAACTGTGACCGCATGCTTGTTTCCTTTGGTTGAATCCTCTTCTTCGATCCTTCCTCGTTTCTTTTTGTTGTGAGTGAGCGTTGAAGCATGGACATACTCCCCAACGGTTGCCTAGAACCCTTCTCATTCTTGTTCGTGCCACAGCGTCAAGCTCATGTCCTTCACGTATCGCATTTTGATGACGTGGAGGGTCATGAACTGTATGCTTTGACATTGCAAGTATGGAGTTGTGTACGAGGCATGGGTAAGGTCCATGCTTCCATGAGTGGGCGTGTGTGTGTGTTCAGTTACCATACTGTACTCGCTGTCCTTGTTGACAGCGTTGCAGTGTGTGTGCTGCGTTGTGTGTGTGTGTGTGTGTGTGTGTTCAGTTACCACACTGCATGCGCTGTCTCCATTTGTTGACAGTGCTGCAGTGTGTGTGTTGGTTGCGTTGTTTTTTCTTCCCCTTTGCTTTCCTTCCTACCCTACCCTGTTGATCGACTGTTGCTGTTGCGTTTCCATCCATCCTTCCTGCGGCCTCCTGACCGCGTCTCTGTATGTGATGGTGGAAGCGTAACGAGAAGAGGATCCCAAATTACACACATTTGGTGTCAAATCAATCACGGTGATCGTGACACGGAGCAGGAGTGAATGTGTGGTCTCTCAACTGTCATGTCACACATCTACTACACATCTGTCATCACACGCACACAACACAAAACTGCAAAGGAGGACAGCGAAAAAAACTGGCAGCAGGGAATATCAGCGCTGACGACGATGCTGACGGGGGATGCTGCACGTGGTTGGCGGCTGCCTGTTGCAGTGTTGGTGACATCGCTGCTATTGTTGTTGGTGGTGGTGGTGGCGTGCGTAGAAGGAGAACCGGGCACGCCGATTGAAGCAGGAGCCACTGAACATATCCACGTTCACATTGTTCCACACTCCCATGTTGATCATGGCTGGCTCGCAACTCTCGATCAGTACCAAAGCAAGGTGTGTGTCTGTGTGTGTGTCCGTCTGTCTGTGTCTGTGTGTGTCTGTCTGTGTGTGTCTGTGTGTGTGTGTGTGTCTGTCTGTCTGTCAACTGTCACCTGTCAACTGTCTCTCTCTCCCTCTGCGCACGTTTCCCCACTACCTCCCTGTAGTTGTGCGCCCATGTCTACCAGCCCCATCCATGCCGCTTCGTCTCGCTCATATTCACATGCACGCGACAGGTGAACAGCATCTTGGAAGGGGTGGTGCTGGCATTGCACGAGGACAGGAGGCGGACGTTCATGTGGACGGAGACGGTGTTCTTGCGGCGTTGGCTTGCTCAACGAGGGGAGAAGACGGCCCCAACACAAGGCACGGGCACGCCCTGGAGGCACCTCACACACAGCGTGGTTGCATCGGGGCAACTGGAGTTCTGTTCTGGTGGTTTGGTCTCTCACGATGAAGCAGCCTCGCGCATCGAACCCATCATGGACATTCACGATCAAGGTGGGCGCTCGTGCGTGTGTGTGTTTGTTTGTTTGTTTGTTTGTATGTGTGTGTGTTTGTTTCTGTGTTTGCGTGTGTGTGTCTGTGTGTGTATGTGTGTATGCATACATGTCCGCGTGTGTATGTGTGTGTGTGTCTGCAGATTTGAGTTGCAGACGTGCGCCAAGCGCAGCCCTGTGCCGCTGACGATGACCTTGTTTTGTCTCGTTTCCAAAACAACTACCGGAACCGCTGTTACTCGCGTGTCACTGGCAGGGCTGATGTACTTGCAGGAAGAGTTTGGTATTCGACCAAGGACAGCGTGCCAGCTCGATCCATTCGGCTATGCTGCTGCTTCGCCTGGCATTTTTTCAGCCATGGGGTGAGGCAGCCAATCATCAACACGCCTGTGATGCCCCGTGTGTTTCGCACAAGTCCTCTGTTACTCTTGCTTCTTCTCTCGCAATTCCATGACACGATCACGCACCTGCTGTGCCACCGCCTCGATCGTGCAGGTATGAGCATGTCATCATCGGACGAGTGCACCACAGCATCAAGGCGAGGTTCAAAGCCGATCACAAGCTGGACTTCTACTGGCAGGTATTCGCAACAACACAACAACGCTCAAAAGACATGCTCACACTCAGAGATGAATCTGCGCGCGTGTGTACGACCACCCACAATGCATCCACCCACACAAATATGCAGGTATGCACGTGTGCACGACCATCCACACGCACGCGCGCACGGAACATCACCCACACACATCACACACATCCACATGCACACCCCTTTCTTGTTGTCAGACCCATGCCTTGGATGGGCATGTTGCTGCGCATATGCTGTTTGACCACTACGACTGTCCCCGCTCCCTGCGTCTCATCGATCCACGTACGTGCGCCACTGACGTTGCCTGATTCGCTTTTCAACGGCTTCCCCGCCTCCACATTCGTTTACGTCTTCTCGACGAGGTGCACGCGGCCAATCATTCCACGCAGCACAAAGTCGGCGTTGGTAGCACGTGTGCTCACGTGTGTTGCATCCATTGGTTGCCGTTGTCTGCCCAAGGTTTTCGCGTGACACGGGCAGCGGTGCAGGAGCTGGTGCGCATCGCAAAGGAGCGGTCTTCATCATACATCTCAGGCAACATCCTCCTCCTCATTGGGGATGATTTCAGGTGTGTTTGCCCGTGCATGGCATATTCACGCCTCTGGGTGTGCGTGTCCTATCGCTGTGTATGATGTCTCGTTGTTCGTGCGTTTGCGTGTTTATGTTTTTGTGTTTGCATCTCCACACCCCTGTGTTCTGTCTTCAGTGTTGCAGCTTGCTCTATGTGCCCTGTGTTGCGGCATTGAAACTTTGCTTGCCATCGCCGGCATGTGCTAATATCCCAACAGCTTTTCAAGCCAGGCCTCGCGCATTTTCTCCAACATCCAACGCCTCTGTGGTGAGCATGAGCAAGACCATGCGTGCCGTGCCGGTTGCTTGCTTGTTGATGTCTCCTGACCTATGTGCGTACGCGTGTGTATGTGTGTGTATGTGTGTGTACGTGTGTGTATGTGTGTGCGTGTGCGTGTATTTTGGCTTGGCCTTTGCTTTGCTCGCAGCTCCCCACCTTCCACCCTTCATCGTCTTCACAGTACGTATGCTGTGCCTTTTTTTTCCAATTTGTCCTCTTTCTGCACTGCATGTCATGTGCAGCACTTACCAATAAGGAGGCAGTGGGTGTGACGTGCAGCCTGAGCACGCCATCCCGCTACTTTCGCGCCACCCGTCCACACCTTGGTCGGTTGAATGCATGTGTCTGGATACACTTGACCGACGAGCGATCTCCTTGCGTGACGATGGCAACGTCCGTCGTGAACCAAACTTTCTGTCGAACCGAGCAACTCACAAGCGCATCCTTGACTGTGAACGCACGGTTTACAGAGATGAAAGGGATTGTTCACCAGCAAGGATTCTTTCCATACGAGGACAAGACCACCGACAACTACTGGAGCGGGTGCGCTTGCTGTTCTGGTACTTGTTGTCCACGACAGTGCTGTTGCTACTGTGGTCAGATGTGCTGTGCACTTGCACATAGCTACACAAACACAAATAGCTACACACACACGCACGCACACACGCACACACACACACACACACACACACACACACATGTTCACTCCCGTGCCATCGGGTACCTGCTGGATGATTAGGTTCTACTGGTCCCGGCCAACGCTCAAGCGTTTAATCGTTCGAGCCCAACACCAAGTAGAGGCGGCGACTACGGCCACTGCACTGCAACATCTTCCATTTGCCTCAGCCGCATCGTCTCAGCCCCAACACTGGCGCCTGAAAGGCCTCGCCAAGCTCGCAGACCTTCGATCACAGGTGCTGTCCCCGTACACGTGTGTGCGTGCGAGTGTGTGCGTGTGTCTATGCGTGTGTCTGTCTGTTTGTTTGTGTTCAAGGCACTGGTGCTGATTCTTTGATTCAACACCATACCTCATCTACACTTTGGCCCACCACACTCACATGTTCACATGACACACCCGCAACACACACACACACACACACACGCACACACGCACACGCACCCGCAACACACACACACACACACACACACACACACACACACACTAAGTATTTACACAACTGCAAATCACATACTCAAATCGATCTCGGTGGTCGTGGCAGCATACGCCATAATGTCAAAAAGGAAATGTCATAAAAACGTTTATAGAAGGAATAACGATACTAGCGCGATCGTCCTCTGGGTTTTTTGTTCTCTATTGCTGTCGTCAATTGCCCAACTGCAGGCCGTGCACACCGCGTACGAGGACGCGAGCGAAGCTCCGCTGCTGCACATGGACACGACGCCGGCCCGGGCAAGCCGCAGCGCGCCCGTGCGTCACAGTCACCAACCCGCTTGGGTGGCGCGTCAATCGCACTGTGCCGCTGTTCGTTGCGTCGAGAGTGGGCCGCACGCTGTGTGTACGCGATGCTCCCACCACTAGCGAGCTGCAGTGTCAGGTGCTGTGGACGAGCGTATGTGAAGCCGCCGCGTCCACCGTTACGGAGCGAGAGGCACGAGCAGCGAGCGCGGGAAGGGCTGGTGGCCGGGCGCAACGCTTGTTCAGTGAAGATGACGATATGGTGCTGTTGGGAGTCCCGATGTCAGTGCCAAACGAGGCGAAACCACACAAGCCCTCGCTTCTCTTCAGGCCCACCCTGAACGACCGTGTGCGCCGTCAGCAGACAATGAGGAAGACAGCTCAAGACGAGAAGGCCAACGCTGGCAACGCACGACCCAGACAGCGCTCGCAGCCCAGTGAAGACGTGGAGGTGGTGGAGGTGTTGGTGGCCATGGTGCTTGAGCCGCTGCAAACAACGACCATCTGCGTCTCTGACGCGTCCGTCAGCGAGTGCAGTGCACCATGCTTTGTCTCCAGTGTCAAAACGGAGACACGCGGCCACGTGTCAATCACAACGCCAACGCACACCATGGCGATTGACACACGCTCGCACGGCGCCCTTGAAGTCCACCGCACACTCCGTCGCCACCAGGTCATTCCCGCTGGCATGCTTCGGTTGCGTGTGTGTGTGTGTGTGTGTGAATGCGTGTGAATGTGTGTAAATGGGTGTGAATGCGTGTGTGTGTGTGTGTGAATGCGTGTGTGTGTGTGTGAATGGGTGTGAATGGGTGTGAATGGGTGTGCGTGCGTGTGTGTGTAAGTTTGCGTGTGTTGTATTGCCTGAGGTGTTGTTCTGGCTGTTGTTGTTGTTGGTGTTCTCATGAGCTGTGACTGCCTGTGCATGAACTGACAGGCCGGTAGCCAGGATGGCGTATCCGCCAACGAGGCATACACGATTCAGTTTCGCGAATATCTGGCAGCAGACATGGGTATGATGCATACATCAACGCCCCTTGTGGTGGTTCACCACGTGTGCTGCATTGACTCTGTACCTCGTGCAGCGCAGTCCCTTGTTTCCATCTCCCCATCCCCATGAGTACAAATCATCACTGCTCAACCGCTACATACCGTACCCCTCCCCTCTTTTCTTGCTGCAGAAACTTATTCGTCAGGCGCGTACATCTTTCGTTCATATCTCCTCACATTCGTGATGGTGTGGATTGGGTTTGGATGGGGATTTGCATTGCTGCCGATTCTCCTCGTTGCAAAGGTCATCATCACCGTCACCACATTACGGTCAGTGTAACACCAAACGCCACAGCTGAAGACCATTTGCACCGTAGTGAGTGACACTTGTTGGCCTTTTTCACACACACACACACACACACACACACACACACACACACAACTTAACACACACACACACACACAACTTGACACACGCGGGCGTGTCATGAAACGCCTTCCTTCATCCTTGGTCCTTCATTCTTGCTCGTGTGGACTGCCTCTCATCTGTGTGCTGTGCCTGTACTCTGTGTGCTGTGTCGTTCACCGATTGTTCGATTCCTTCAGTCGCAGCTTCTGGGACATTGTCGCTGGCCCACGACCGCTGCGCGTCGTGCGTGCGCTCTTCTCCTTCCTGCGCCGTCGCCCATCCATTCGTGAGCAATGCGATTTTGACACCTTGCATGACCAGCGCACGCGTGAGCCACGCTCACGACTGGCCATTTCGCGTCCTCCCTCTCGCTTGGTGATATACCTGCGTGCACTGACTTTGATCACACATGTCCTGCCTATTTGTGGCGCTGCTACCACTCAGAAATGCGACAATTGCGAAGAGACCTTGTGTTGGCCACGGGTTGTGGTGTGATCATCGGAAGCGTGCTGTTCCTACTGCCGCGACTGCTGCCACGACACCTCCTCCTCTACATGTACGCGCCAATGTGGGGACACACACGTAGTCGACATGTGTGCACTGGTGCTGCGTCTCGCTGTGTTTTGTGCATACTTTGCCTTTTCACTGTGGGCCATACTTGGTTGACGTGATGCGTGCGTGCATGTTGATGGTGCAGAATCAGCGTGGATCAGCCGCATGTGACGATGCTGTTTGTGGGCGCAGCCTGTGCTGTTGTTGTTGCGACACTTGACAAGCTGTGGATGGCCATTCACGCATCCCTGCACATCCCGATTGCGTTTGGCCTCTGGCTGCTCCTCGCCCAGTCCATCCAATCAAGGTTTTGTGGCAAATTGCATTGTTGTTGTCATGCCTGCGTGTGGGTGTGGGTGTGAGTGTGGTGGTGAGGGAGAGGGAGGGTTTGAGTGTGAGTGTGACTGTGACTGTGACTGTGAGTGTGAGTGTGGGTGTGAGTGTGGGTGTGGGTGTGCGAAATGAGAGCACGCGCTTGTGTTTGCATGTGTTTGCGTGTGTTTGTGACTGACTGAGAGCACGCGCTTGCGTGTGCAGATGGGGATGCGCTGCTGTTGTGCGAAGTAAGCGCCACTTGTAGTCATCATGTCACATCACCATCATCCATCGCCCGACCTGCGTGCAGACCGATACCTATCAACACGTCGCATATTGTCGTGCAGCAAGGGCCGCTGCAGACGCGTTTCCACATCTCCACCAGCGCTCATCATCACGTGGTGCGTATCTGCCACCCACCGCTTGCCAGCTGAAAGAAACTACACACTATGTGTGTGTGTGTTGAGATTGCGACGTTGAGTTGCAGCCTGCTTCCCTTGTGTCTGTATTGCCTTTACACTCCACTCATGTACTTGTGCGCATCGCTGGATCGTGCACAGCAACTTCGGCAAGTGCATGTTGGCAATGAGACTGCTGGGCTGCAGCTTCGGGTTGCCGGTTCCCTGCCTCGCTTTTCTCAACTCTCCACCCGGTATGTGTGCGTTGTGTGTCTGTCTGTCTGTCTGTATGTCTGTGTGTCTGTCTGTATGTATGTCTGTGTGTGTTTGTCTGTGTGTGTGTGTCTGTGTCTGTGTGGTAACATGCTTGCAGAAGCATGTTTGGGAACATATGCTCTGCTTCTCACACACGTGAGAATGGAGCAACTACGCCTCATGCTGCTGCCACGAGTTGAGTTGACAGGATTGGCATCAACTACTGCATCCCATCTACAAATGGACTGTGGACGGATGATCTCGTTGTCCGTGAGCATCACCGTCATGTCATGCACAGGTTGGGGGTTGAATGATGTCGTTGCAGTTGATGTGGGTGGGTGCTTTGGGTTTGCTGTTCAATGGCACACTCCATCGTCAAGACAAACCACACACACACACACACACACACACACACACACACACACACACACACACACACACACACACACACACACACACACGTTCGCATGCACGCGCTGCCGTGTGCCCCGACCCATTCAGGCTCGTGAACGGGAACTACATGCCAGTGCCCGTGATGGCGGGACAGTCGTGCATGACGCAACAGCTGATGGCTGTCTCGTCCCACCCAACCGGTGCCGTATCCTTTGTGCGTTGTTGACTCGCTTTCCACACACGATCTCTATCTCTTGCTGTTTCCTTGCACTGGGTCTCGCTGTCCTCAACTCCTCACACACACACACACACACACACACACTCTCTCTCTCTCTCTCTCTCTCTCTCTCACTCGCTCACACACACGCACACACACACACACACACACTTGCTCACACACACTCGCACACACACGCCGCTCTTCTGCCACGGTGCCTCGCTGTTACTGTTTGTGTTGTGGTCAGGTGGACGGGCTTGAGCTTGGCTTCCACCGCCGCCCCGGTGTTGACGATGAGCGCGGTCTTGTTGAGCCTTTGGATGACCCTTCCTTTGCCGTGCACGACCTGTGGTTGCAGACGCTGCCCACCCACACATCAACATCACCGGATGCTGTGGCGCGCGAGCGGCAGTTTGCCAGCGCGGTGCTCAGCCCGCCTGTCACGTCCCATGCCTTTGAACAGGAGATGGATGGCCTGCCCGCACAGCTGCACGCGCGCACGCGTCCGCCGCTGCCGCCGCATGTGCAGTTGCTGCACGTGGGCCCTCTGGATCGCAAGAAGCACAACACGGGCGCGACCAGCGATGGCTGTGTTGCCATCCGCCTGCTCTCGCCGCGATGCAGCGCCGCAAACACCGACCGGCAACCGACAGAGTGCGTGTGTGTGTGTGTGTGTGTGGAATGTGTGCGTGTGTGTGTGTGTGTGTGTGTGTGTGTGTGTGTGTGTGTGTGTGTGTGTGTGTGTGTGTGTGTGTGTGTGTGTGTGTGTGTGTGTGTGGAGTGTGTGTGTGTGTGTGCGCGCGCTGTTGTGCGCGTATGTTCATGCATTTTCATGTGTCTGTAACAACGCCACTGCACCTCGCAGGCATGACTGGGATGTGCTGCAATGGTGCAACGGATGGGCTGGCACCGTGGGCGGCGCCTGCAAGGTGTGTGCATGCGTCAAATCCCGTGCCTCAAGTCCACGCTGGAGTCTGTGTGTGTGTGTTGAGCATCCCTGGCTCGTGTTGGCTTGCTTACACCTTGTCTCTGACACGCATGTGCGTGGTTGCAGGAGACGGACGCAATGTTTTTGGAATGGAATGTTGGTGTGAAGCAATGCCAACCGCTCAGGCCAGGCAGCGTGTGCGCAATGCTGGTGTGTGCTCACGATGGAGCATAAACAAGGCCACGGTCGCAACAGGGCCGCTACCAAGAGAGGAGCATCCATGAATTTGTGTGTGTGTGTGTGTGTGTGTTGTACTTCACCAGCCATCCATTGCTTTGCTCGTCCACGGTGAACAGCTGGGCTGTACATAAACGTGACACATTGGGCACACATATCTTTAATGGAATGTAACTTGAACACGACTCGAAGATATCACACACACACCACAACACAGAACAACACGCGTGAATGTCATTGCGAGCTGCCGCTTCCCCTATCATCAACTTCGCCGTCGTCGTCATCGGAGGGAGGGCGAGGGTCAATCATGGATACCATGAAAGCGCCTGCGGTGGTTGAGCAAAAGGAATGGCCAGGCAGTGATGAGCGGGGGAGGGAGGTGTGAGTGTATGTGTGTGCGTGGGTGTGTATGTGTGTGTGTGTGTGCGTGCCTGTGCGTGTGTGTGTGTGTGTCTGTTTGTCTGTGTGTACCTGTGCGTGCCTGTGCGTGTGTGTGTATGTGTGCGTGTGTGTGCGCGTGCCTGTGCGTGTGTGTGTGGTGTGTTTGTCTGTGTGCCTGTGTGTGTGTGTGTCTGTGTGCCTGTGTGTGTGTGTGTGTGTGTGTGTGTGTGTGTGTGACGCCTTGTGTCGCATGAAGGACACAGTCTGCCGCTCAGCGCCACGACCGACCTTGCTGCCGTGCATCGTGGGGAATGCCCACATCTGCCAGCTGCTCCTGTACCTGATGAATCACTTGTTGTTGTTGCTGTACACGCAGCACGACCACAGCGCAAATCCACACAAGCGTGTGAGGTGTAAGTGGAGGAGACACGGTTTCGCAGTGCACGCGGGATGAGGTTCACATGATCTTTCCAACACGTACAGCAAGGCAAACACGCTCAGCAGCAGTGAGACATGACAGTGCAGCGTACGTCTCTGTCGAGTTTCTGGCCACGCCGATGCTTGATGACGATACGCACTCGCAACCCCTTACTCAGGAACTTGTGTGCTTGCTTCACTTTGACCTGCAGGTCGTGTTCACCACACCATGCTGTTGGGTTACAAGCACAGCACGAGCGCCCGTGCAGGAACATGAGCGAATGAAACCAAGCAGGGTGCGCGCGGTCCAGTGCACGGACGAAGCGTGAACCACGGCGCCACGAACACGCGCGAATGTGTGTGCATGCGTAAGTGTTCGTGTGTGGGTGGGTGGGTGCGCAATGAGGGGAAGGGAAGAGCATGCCGTGATGGCGGGCACAGCCCGGTGGGCTTCTTACCAGAGAGTTGGACCTCTTTGGTCAGCTTTGCCAGTTCCTTTTCTTGACGCGCACGTTCGCGTCGCTGCCTTGCCTGCTGCCTCTCACGCTACCAAATGTCAAATGCCAAAGCAGGTGTGAGGGCAGAGAGATGACAAGGATGTGGGGATAGCAGTGACCAGCGACCACAGCTGCTAAATGTGCACGCTTGCATGTGTTCGTACACACACACACACACATGTACAGAAACGAGAGCACACACACACACACACACACACACACACACACACACACACACACACACATACACACACATACACCTGTTCTTGCTTCTTGCGTTCACGGTTGGCGTCAACGAGGCGGTATACATCCAAGGCTGGCTTATTTGAGTGGCGGGGTGCCTTGTGAACGAGCCGCAACTCCAGGTTCCGCTGGTGAGCAAGCTTTCTTGCTTCTTCAACACTCATCTCTCCAAGCTTTGTTCCGTCGTTATCAACAACCATCCCACGTGACAAGGCAGCTGTGGACGTGCGCAAGAAGCGAGCCATCATGCCGTGGTCTGCGATGCGCGCACACGCCGCCAGCGACGCCGGCACAGCCCACCTCTGCCCTGTACCCACAGCGCCCCTTGACCAGCCCGCTACGACCCCGACTGTGGTGGCTCTCGTCGTGGCAACGCCAGTGGACGCCAGCCGAAGCCATCGCGCACCACCGCTAACGCGAATCGCTGCCATCATCCCCGCACAGCTGTCTGCAACACCACAAAATCAATAAATAACAGTCGCCAAGCAAGCAAGCAAGAAGCATCATTTGTGAGGACTGGGGCAGGATGAACGTGCTTGTGGTTGGCCGGCTGGTGAGTGGTGGTAGTGGTGGGCGCGATGCTGGCCAGCGAACAAGGGGTCGCATCGAGGCACATGGCGATTCCATCTCAGCAGGTGTGTGTGTGTGCGTGTGTGTGTGTGTGTGTCTGTGTCTGTGTCTGTGTGTCTGTGTCTGTCTGTCTGTCTGTCTGCCTGCCTGCCTGTCTGTCTGTGGAAATCTTACGCTCCGATGTGTGTAGTTTGGGTGCTTGTAAGCAACAAGCTCATCAGAGTCTGACTTGCTTTGCCCGTTGAAATGGCGTGCGTTGTCGCTGCTGTGGCTGCTGTGGTGGCTGTGCAGGGCACGAGCAGTGTAGATTCAACCGCTTGTTCGATGCCGCAACACCGATTGACACCGTGTACCACAAGGTTTGCCGTCCCATCGTCAAGTCATTCACCCGAGGTTTCAACACAGCCCTCATCCTGCTGGACCAGGGAAGCGACGCCCATGTCACGGCAAGCCTCACGGGATCAGGTCCTTGTCCTGTGTAGATCGTGTTCACTGCCACCTGTAAACGATGTGCTGCGGTCGTTTGTGTGTGTGCGTGTGTGTGCATCACTCTTTCGTGCACCTCTTTCTTGCCTGCACGTCTCTATTTCGTGTACCTCTTTCTTGCTTGCACGTCTCTCTTCCTGCACCTCTTTCTTGCCTGCACCTCTTTCTTGCCTGCACCTCTTTCTTGCCTGCACGTCTCTATTTCGTGCACCTCTTTCTTGCCTGCACCTCTTTCTTTCCTGTGCATCTCCTACATACGCCTCACTGCCTTGATGTTGCGGTGCCGACGGTGCCTGCCCCCCTCCTGATCACTATCGTTTGTTCCTCAGGTGATGGCCCCGGCGCGGATGCAAGCGGAGGCCGTGGCCTGATGCAGCATTTTATTCAGGATATCTTTGCGTACCTGAGCGACGAGCAAGCCTTCCTCAGTGAGTTAGAGACAAACCAGTCGAACCACACCCTTCCCCTGTGTCACCATCAACACAGGCCCAAGGGGGCCAACACCCTCTGCACCTCTCGTGGCCCATGACTTTCTCGTTTCGCTTACAATTGACATGTCTGTTTTCTTGCAGTGACGGTATCCTCGTTTGAGGTGTATGCAGAGCAAGTGCGTGACATGCTGGCACCAGAGGCGAAGGGGCTGCGTGTCGTCGAAACGCCGGACGCAGGCTGGACCATTCGTGACATCTCGACAAACCAGGTGCGCAACATGCTTGTGCTTGGCGAGCGTTGTGTGCATATCTGTGTGCACGTATGTGCATGCGTGTGAGCGCATGTTTGTGTGCATGTGTGTGCATGTGTTTTGGCGGGTGCTCGGATGCATCTGCTCTCGACACGTCGCGTGCAGGTTGACCCATGAGCATGCGTACACGTGGTGTGCATCAGGTGCGAGGTGCGGGCGCGTGCATGGCGGCATTCAAGACTGCGTTTGCGGAGCGCACCTCGGATTCCGCTAAACGCCATCGCAGCTGTTTCTGCTTCCACATCAATGTGTGTGTGTGTGTGTGTGTGTGTGTGTGTGTGTGTGTGTGTGTGTGTGTGTACATCTTTGTGTTCACGGCTTTGATGCCTTTGACTGTAAAGAACGTGCCACCTGTTGTCTCAGCGTGTCTTGCAAATGACATGCTACCGTCTTGATCGCACACTCACCCTTCACCGCTCACCCTTCACCGCCCTGCGCCATGCCACACCACCAGCTGTCCCAGGGCGACATGCGTGCTGTGTGTCGTATAGTTGTGCTTCCCGTTGTGGACGCTGTTGTCGCCGATCCAACGCGCGCACGTCTCACCCACGGCGCACACGTGGTTCAGGTCTGCTGCACAGCCACAATGGGGCGGGGACAGTGATGGTGTGGTGGTGGTCCTGCTGTTGCTGGTGGCGGGTGCTGTGTGTTTTGTGTGAAGAGCTATGGGTGTCTCTCTGTCAAGCACCCCTCTACTCATCTTCGAGATGAGCGCAAGCTTCCTGCCAATGTGTGCGTGTGTGTGTGTGTGTGTGTGTGTGTGTGTGTGTGTGTGTGTGTGTGTGTGTGTGTGTGTGTGTGTGTGTGTGTGTGTGTGTGTGTGTGTGTGTGTGTGTGTGTGTGTGTGTGTGTGCAAGCACGTGTCTCACTTTTTTATGTTTGCCGCGTCTCCTTGGTCCATTCGCCCATCCAGGGCCCCGTGGCCTGTGCGCGATTGATTGAGGCGCATGCATCGCAAGACATGCGACACCAGGTTTGTCACGTGCATGAATGACAAGCAGAGCGTGTTGTGCTCGCGTTTGTCCCCTCCTGTCCCGCTGTCACCATGCGTGTGCTCACGTGCGCCTTTCGCCTGCTGTTGGTGTAGTTGCCAGATATTGTTGACTCGTCCATCATGACGCGGCTGATTGCCGACACAATGGGAAACAACTGCCAGACAGCGGCCATTGCGCACATCCAGGAAACCATGACTGCTCAGCTGCCAGAGTACCTCAGGCTGTGCGTTCATCTTCGCCAGGTGCGCCCACACATGAATGCAGCGTCAGCACTCTGTGTGCACAAGGTGTCTCGGCGCGCTTGTGTTGCCTGCCTGAATGCCTGCTCTGGATCCGTTGACACTGGTAAGCGCATGACCTGCTGCCACGCCCTGCTGCTCTCATTCTGTGCATGTGTTTGTACATGTGCATGTGTGTGTGTGTGTGTGTGTGTGTGTGTGTGTGTGTGTGTGTGTGTGTGTGTGTGTGTGGCAACAGATCAAGAACTATCCCGTGCAGAACCAGTCCAATCTTCGCGGTCTCGTGGAGTCGTTTCGGGCCACCATGCTCTCCCTGAAAAATTCAACATCAGGCCTCCTCAGAGACGTGCGTGAGATTATCGTGAACGCAACTCTGTACACGTGCCTGTGTGTGTGTGTGTGTTAGCGTGGTTGTTTCTTCAGCCTTGCCAGCCAGCTGGTTTGCGCTTGGTGCTCATAATCTTGCGCCATCAGACTGACTGCACATGTGTCATCATCACGCCCGTGAACAGATGGGTCTCTCGGGTGGAGAGGAGCACGACGCCGAGACAAAACTCGTTGAATCAAACCTCGAAATCCTCAAGCTCAAGGTCCTCGCTCGCAGCAGTTGCAGCGGCAGTGGTGGTGCTGGTGGTGCTGGTGGTGGCTGGACCGTGCATGATTATTGTGTGGTGCACATGCGTGCGTGGGTGGACTTGAACTCTGCCAGACAAAGGTGCTTTCTCGGGTGTTGAGTTGCTGTGATTTCTTCCCACACGATGCGTAATGATCGCACAAACACATACACACATACACACACACGCACACACACACACACACACATACACTCACGCACACACATACACACACTCACGCACAAACACATACACACACTCACCCACACACATACGCACACATCCACACACTAGGATTTGAACTCCAAGTTCAACAACCGGCTGCAGACGGCCCAGGCAACCATTGCGCGGGAAGAGGCGGAACGCAAAGACTTGACCGCTCAGCTCTTGGACAGGTGATGCTCGTCGCATATGCGCATGTGCCTGGCTGTCTGTCTGGCCATCTGTTTACCTTTCCGTGGCAGTGCTGGCGGCTCACTCGTGTATGCACGTGTACCTGTTTGTGTTTGCTTCTGCGTCTATGCGCGTACATGTGCTCAACAGCGAGGAAGAGCGGCTGCTGCTAACAAAGGCGATGCTGGAGATGCAACTTGAGCATGCGCAGACGACAGCTGACGCCGAAAAGCGTGCGCATGAGGACAAGTCCCGGGTATGTGTGTGTGTGTGTGTGTGTGGAGGTACATCACGCTTCCTCGTGTTAGGTTGAGAAACAAATGTTCCGCTCCCTTTGTCACTACTTCGTCTCTGTACTTGTGTGAGTGCGTGTGTTGTTGTTTCAATCACACAACCTGAGCGTACGTGTGTATGTGTGTGTGTGTGTTTGTGTTCAGATCTCGTCGCTTGAGGAAGACTTGGACGCCTCTGTTGCGCGCGAAGAACAACTGCAGCAGACCATCGCAGACCTACAGGTTCTCGTGCTGACCCTTGAATCTGCGTATGGTGTGTGTGTGTGTGTGTGTTTATGGAAGTATGCAAGCGCGTCTCCGCTTCCTCGCATTCTCCACGCACGTGCAGGCTCATCTGTTGCACCACATGCGATGACCCCATCCACCCATGCATCCGTGTCATCGTGCTAGGACAACGTGACAGCGCTGGAGGGGGAGCTTGAGAGCAGGCAGCGTGAAATCGCCAGTCTCAAGAGCGGCACACTCGCCCTCGATGTCAGTTCCATCTGCATATCTGACTTATTCATGATTGCATCTGAGCACGGCGCGTGTGTTGGTTCATTTTGCCACTTGTCGACCCACACTCTTTTTCGTGTGTTTACACACGGGCTGGCGGCTGCATTGTGTCGGCAGGAGGACTTTTCCATCCGTCTTCGCGCCAAGATTGCGACGCTCGTCAAGTCAAAGGTATCGCCGCGCCTTCTGCTTTTCCTATGCTGAGTACTATTCCGGCCTCAGCGGGAATCATACACACACGCACGCACACACACACACACACACACCCGCGCGCGCGCACAGATGAAGTTGTTGCAAGACCGCGACGCGCTCGCAGAACAAATTGTTACGTTGGAGGGGCATCCACACGACCCAGCAGCATTCAAAAAAGCAACACAGGTGTGTGTGTGTGGGTGTGGGTGTGTGTGGGTGTGTGTGGGTGTGTGTGGGTGTGCACGCGTGTGGGTGGGTGTGGGTGGCGTTGATGTACACGTGCCGTGTTTTGCGACAGCATGCGTGGTTGTGAGGAAGTGACAACCATGCACGCTGCCATCGCCGCCGTTGTGTTGTCCGTGTAAATATTGTTGTGTGCTTGGTGCCTTGTGCAGACTGCTGTGAACAATACGGAAAAGCAAGGGGAGGAGATTGCCTCCATGATTCTTCAACGCACGCGCATCGAGTCAAAGGTGCGCGGCCATGTCATGTGGTTGATGACACGGTGGTGTGGTGCACCTGGCCTGTTTTTCTGTGTCGTCCTTGCACAACCAAGGCAGGGGATCCGACACACACGCACACACACGCTCACGCTCACGCACACACACACACACACACATGCACGCACGCACACACACCCATGCACGCACGCACATATGTACGCGCATTTAGGATGGTGACGTGCAGGCCGTGTCAACGACAGACACAACGAACAAACCATCGTCGTCGTCGTCGTCATTGCAGGCTACGTTGCGACCGCGAAATGCAGCCGCAAAGGAGCGGCGTGTTGAAGAGGTGACACACAACCGATGCCTGGCACACTATTGGGCTGTGTGCACGCCCCCGTTCATGCCTTGTATGCATGTGGTGTTCCAATGGCTCGCTGCCGCTGTTTGTGCTGATGTGCAGGTGTGTGTTGATTCCACGTGTTTTGTCGTCACCATGTTATTGTTGCTGCTGCTGCTGCTTGGGCTGTGTGTGGCTGCAGCTGCGACAGGAGCTCAGATCTGTGCAGCAAGAGCTTGAGTTGTTGCAGAAGGAGAACAAGCGTATGGCAACGGCACACGACGCATTTGTTCGCGACCACCGCAAGCGCCTCGAGAAGGTTTGTGTGTGTGTGTGTGTGTGTGTGTGTGTGTGTGTGTGTGTGTGCGTGTGTGCGTGTGTGTGTGTGTGTGTTTGCGTGTGTCTGTGCGTGTGTGTGCTTGTCTGTCTGTCTGTCTGTGTGTGTTCATTGAGCAAGAAGCCATGCTTCATGTACTCTTCCAAGGTCTTTCACACACCCCACACCATGTTCACTCGCACAATGTTCGCTGATGTGCAGCATGTGAAGGAGTTTTCGACGTGGATGACGAAGAACAACGCTGGTGGTGACGGCAGTGACAGAATGAAACAGGAGCTCGACCAAACGCTGCAAGACCAGGCGGCCACATACCAACAAGAGTAAGGCAGTGAGAGTGAGAGAGTGTGTGTGTGTGCGTGCGTGAAGAAGGAGAGAATAGGAAGCGAGTGAATGTTTGCGAGTATGTGTGTGTTTGTGAATGTGCTTGGCATGGTACGCTAATGTCAACGCTCTCATGCACACACCCGTGTGCAATCGTACACGCGCGTGGTTGTAGAGTGAACGAGCTGAGGGCTCGCATGGAGACCACGGAGAAGCAGCTGCTGCAGCGGTCGGCGCGCTTGAGGCGCCTTGTTGGCGTCTATCGTGGCCTGCGTGACCTGTGTGAGGAGAACGATCTCCCCGTTCCCAGCGCCCACCGCTTTGAAGAGGCGCAGCTGGACGAGAACGCAGAGGTTCGTGTGTGTGTGTGTGTGTGTGTGTGTGTGTGTGTGTGTGTGTGTGTGTGTGTGTGTGTGTGTGTGTGTGTGTGTGTGTGTGTGTGTGTGTGTGTTTGAGCGTGTGTGTGTGAATGTGTGTGTCTCTGTCTCTGTCTCTCTGTCTCTGTCTCTCTTTCTCTCTTCTCTCTGTCTCTGTCTCTCTCTTTCTCTCTTCTCTCTGTTTCTCTCTCTGTCTCTCTGTCTCTCTCTGTCTCTGTCTCTCTCTGTCTCTCTGTCGCCCTGTCTCTTTCGGCCTATCTCCGGTTGTGCGTGAAAAGGTGCGTTGTTGACGAGGCAGTGGTTGGCGCGTGATTGCAGATTATCCGCCTGCGAAAGGCGCTGCGAGGAGCACATGCGCTGTCCCTGGCCACGAGTGGAGGAGGCAAGGGGCAAGCTGACGGCAAGGTGCGATGTGTGCGCTGCCTCTGTCGCGACTGTACTTGACACCACAACGTAATGCCGGGCAGCTACACCAAGACAGCAATGGTGTAATGGTGTGTCATGTGTGCACATTTGTCTGTACACATGCGCTTACACGTGCGCACACAAACATATTGCACATTGCATTTGCGAGATTCAGGCTGCCGATGCGTTGACGACGTTCACTTCGCAGATACAGCGCAAATTGGAGGATGAGCGCTCCCAGCTCCTTGTATCCATGGCAAGGGCAGAGCAGGTAATGTTAGACACGCAAACATGCATGCACCCACACGTGCTCTTCCTCATGTTCTTGTCAAAACCAGTGGTCCTGAGCGGCTCGTGTTCTCATTTTCACCACCACCACCACCACAACTATCATCATCATCATTGCCATCATCACCGTTGCCATTACCAGAAAATCAAAGTCATGGAGGAGTTTATCCGCACACGACTGAAGCCAAAGAAGAAGAAATAAGCAGTCGCCGCCACATCAGATGCTTCTTCTGCTTCAAGGGCGTAATGTGCGTGTGCGTGTGTACCACGAAGCGTGTGCCCTTGTGCCATGTGAGGAAGTCTGCCGTGGTGCATGGCAGAGAGCAGCACATCGCTTGTTGCTCATATCCGGTGCTTCATTTTATTAAAATCACCCATGAATTTTCGACCGAGCGAAGACTATTCGTGGAAGAAACCAGTGGTTTTTCGTGCGGATGAATTTCTTCGTGTCGCATTGTGTGTGGCTCGTCAGCAAACTTCCTCGTCAACGCAACATACAAACACCAGCCAGCAACTCTCACGTCATCACATCACAACACCCCCAGCACATCTTCATCGCTTGCTTGACATCCCTTCATCACGGCTGCTTCCCTCCGCTCGTCCGCCGTTGTTGGCCCTTGTACTTTGTTGTTTGGTTTGCTCGTTGTTCTTGACGCGCGGGTGTGCCGAAGCGATGTCACAGGAGCGGTTGCTTGGTGAGCGGGGCGCGCCGCCGCGCGACGCATATGTGCAGAACCGCCAGACACAAGCGCACTTTGTGTTCAGCGGAGATGCCCAGGACAACCGGAAGAACCGGCAGCATGGACAGAACGGGGGAAGTGGGCGGTGGAAGCAGGGTGGGACTGGTCACGACGACCGCAGGCACAGCGGTGGCGGAGACGACTCGATAGAAATGTCTGTGTTCCAGAGAAACCTGACGTCTCGCAAGAACCACAACCCGTGGAAGCAGGAGGATGAGCAGCACGGCTCCCCCTCGTCTGCAGCCGCAGCCTCCAGAACAGCCACAACAACCAGTGCATATGGGCAGGACCCAAACACAACGTTCATCTTGCACGAAGTCGAAGGGCACCACACACTCACCGGCATTGCTCTGCAGTACAGGACAACGGTCAGTTGATGACAGAAAACAAACGTGGCTAGTTGTGTGTGGGTGTGGGTGTTTGTTTGTTTGTTTGTGTTTGTTTGCGTGTGTGTGTGTGTGCGGTGTTTGTGTGCGGTGTTTGTTTGCGTGTGTGTGTGGGTGGGTGGGTGGAGGTTATGTGTTGTTTGTGTCGTTTGTGTCATTGTTGCTGGTTGTACTTCCCGCTCACATGCTTGGCTTTTTGTGCGCGAACCCGATCTCAGGTGGATCAGTTGAAGCGGCTGAACAACATTTGGGGCGAGGCAGAACTGCACGCGCGCAAGGTGCGCCGCCAATTGTGTTTGTTCGTGTGTGTTTGTTTGTTTGTGTTTGTTAGTTGTTTTTTTTTTTTTTGGTGTGGGTGTGTATCGGTGTCTATATGTCCAGGTAGCTGTGTCTGTATGTCCAGCTAGCTGTGTCTGTCTGTCTTTGTTTGGGGAGAAAGGCGGTGCCGTGTGTGCTGTGTGCGACGTACGAAGGCAGCCACAACGACCATGCGCTCATGTCAACCAACACCCGCGACATCCACAATCATTCCCGCACATGAACACTTGCGCCACCGTGACAGGTGATCAAAGTGCCGGCATCGAGGTTTGGGCACTTGTATGCAGCGGTACAAGAGTCCAACCTTGATGATTTGGACGGCATGGAGGAAGGTGTGAAGACATACACGACCAAGCGACCGTTTCTGCCAACGGAGAACCCGAACATCTCCCTGCCGTCGGAAGGTGAGCAGAAATGCACGTGGGATGATGAAGTTGGCGCGCTTCACACAATGAGGCTGATGCGAGACCGATGTGGTTGGAGATGCTCACAGCTCCTTTATCGTTGCCGTCGGTCTTGTCGTCATCCTCCAATTTGTCAAACCCCCCCCCCCAGGTCAAATTGCGCTCACATGTCCTCGATACGTGGCCGTTGTGTCGTGCATTGTTTGTGGCTGTTTTCGTGATTTTATGTAGCCTTCTCCAGAATATCATATGGGGACGATGACAACAGCCAGCACGACAGCGAAGAGTAAGTTATCCCTCAAAACACCACTGCAAGGTCGCACATGTCACTGCAAGCTCGCACATGTCATCACAACAACCGCACACGCACACACACACATGTGTATACACATCACACACACATACAACTACACACACACACACACACACACACACACACACACACACACACGCATGTGTCGACACACACAAGTACACAGACACACACGACTCGATTAACACAATCTTCCTCCACTCATGTTTCCACCACCTCAGAGAGCCTGCGGACTCGTCGGAGGTGCTGGCCAAGTACGATGCGCAGCTGCAGACGGTGATGGAGCACCAGGCGCGGCTGGAGAGCAGCTCTGTTGCCGACGCCCGCGTGATTGGCCTCCTGCGACGCGAAAACGCATGGACAACGTTCACCAGCCCCGGCATGTGGAAGCGCGCCGTGGCCATCCTAGTCGTCATGGTCGTGCTCGTTCCAGTGGCCGTGTACAAGCTCTACCCACAGCAGGACTAGAAGAACAGGACTACCGGCCAGCGGCGGCAGCAGCAAGCGGCAACTGCCACGAAAGCGCAACTCTCTGTTATTCCTCCTCCCCCCCCCCAGCCGAGATTTGTGTGTGTGTGTGTGTGTGTGTGTGTGTGTGTGTGTGTGTGTGTGTGTGTGTGTGTGTGTGTGTGTGTGTGTGTGTGTGTTTTCGGCGTTGGCAAACACTGTGCGTGTGGTTGTGAACGTTTATTTTAGAAGCTTCCTTAGGCAAAACTATGCGTGGAGCTGCGGTGCTTGCTGTATCATGGCACACACGGTCATGTCTGAAAATCACAGCAGCAGCACTGGCCCCAGTCCATTCCCACCATCACACCCCACTTGGTCTCTTCTTGCCCCTCTGTCAGGCAAGAGGTATTAAGCAACCCGCCGTATTTTCCCTTGATTCATTAAACTCGCCATTTACCTCACGCACAACCAGCGCCGCCGCCGCCGCCGCCGCTGCTGCTGCTCTTCTTGCTGCGTCTGCAATGAGAACATCACCCAGTGACTGACGACACAACACGCAGGCCGCTTGCTATGAGTGCTCGTGTCGGCGCTTTGCTGTTGTAGCTGCTGCTGCTGCTGTTGCTGCTGTCGAGGAGGTTGATGATGACGAGGGCGTCTGCGATGACGGCCCCGCAGCCCCGCGCACACTCCGCACCCCTCCAGCCTGCCAGATGAGAGCACGTGCACACAATGTTGTGTTGCGTGCGTGCGTGCGTGTGTGTGTGTGAATGTGTGTGGTGTGAATGTGTGTGGTGTGAATGTGTGTGTGTGTGTGTGTGTGTGTGTGTGTGGTGTGAATGAACATTTGAGCTGTTGCACTCAAACCACATTGGAGGATGAGCGCGGGTCGCATGGACGCACCGTGACTGAGTAGTGGATAGAGCCCTCGGGCAGCGACGGCGACTTGAAGAGGGACGCAGACCTGGTGGTCGCAACAAGCGTTGACGAGAAGGCGAAGGATAAAACGCGTCACATCAGCCATCATGGGGCATGAGTACATGGCGAGCAACACCAAACCAACGCAGCACGGATGTGGTTTGAGTGGGAGAGATAAGAGGAAGGAGGACGGAACCCAGAGTGGTTTGAATGCAGGTGGTTGTCAGGGCTCATGTGGTGTTGATGGATTGACTCACCGTGTGTCGCCATCAAAGGCGAGAACAACCCGCGTTGTGCACGCGTGTGCCCAAGTTTCCCCTGAATTTGTCAACGCGGAGCAAGCAAAGTAAGGCATGAGAACAAACACACTCCTTCGTTGAATGTTGCTCAAACACAAGGACGGATGCATTGTCCATGCTCAGGCTTGTGTAAAAACACACACACACACACACACACCGAGCGCTGGAATGAGGGTTGCTGTTCCATCCTTGATGGTGGTGGTCATCTGGTTGGTGATGAGCACGACGATGTTGTGCTGGGTGGCCAGGGAGAGGAGCTGCTGTGCTGCGCCGTTCAGCAGACGCGTGCGCAGACCCATGTCGTGGAAGTCCGCGCGGAAGTGAAACGCAATGCTGTCAATCACAACCAGCTTCACCTGGCGCAGGCGTGTGTGTGTGTGTGTGTGTGTGTGTGTGTGTGTGTGTGTGTGTGTGTGTGTGTGTATGTGTGTGTGTGTGTATGTGCGACAGGTGAATATTCAGGACGTGGCTTGAGGCGTGTGGAGCGTGGGTGTGGGTGTGGGTGACAGTCACTGTGCGTGCTCACGCACGTGGTACATGCTGTGGTGCAAGCTGAACACAGATCAGGAGAACGACGGCTGAGAATGTGCAAATGAAGCAGACGAGGATAGCACACATGATGCACCTGCGGATGATCAATCTGGAACGCAGGCAGGGCGTTGAGCACGGCGATTTGCTCAATGTAGTTGTGAACACGAAACACGTGCACGCCTTCGAGCATCTCCTCGACCGACGGCAGCGCCGCCTCTGTGTTGTGTTGGCCATTTTTGTCGGTAAGGAAGGAAAGGGAGGAGGTTGAGTGTGGTGTGATCCTGTGCACGTGCAGGCGCATGTGTAGACACACACACACACACACACACACATACATACATACACACACACACGAGCTCACACACACACACACGAGCTCACGCTTCTTTCGCCGTCGGGATGCACGCGGCTGAAGCTCTGAGCGCGTGTGCTCTGCAATCTCCTTGAACCTGTCTGCCATGAAGCTGCCCTCCGTGTCTACAGCGGGTGAGACGCACACATGCATGCCAGTGTGAGCGTGCGCATGTGCACGCGTGAGCAAGTGCGCACGTGTGCAGCCAGGGTCAAGAGCAAATGTGGTGTGTGGGAGCGAATATGCACAACCAAAGCAGCGTGTGGCAGTGCGTTGGAAGAATGAGGTGAGGGGCAAAAGGGCACTCACCAATGTACACAACTTGTCCAGCGAGTCCACCAAATGCGTGAGGCAGCTGGCAGTTCACAGACAGCTGCATGCTTTCGTTGCAATAAGACCCAGAAGACGTGAGGTAAGGGGTGGACCGGGCAGCAAAGAAGGTGAGCCAGTGCATCAAGGCAGTGTACGTGCGTGTGTGTGTGTGTGTGCATGTACGCGTGTGTGCATGTACGCGTGTGTGCATGTACGCGTGTGTGTGTGTGTGTGTGTGTGTGTGTGTGTGTGTGTGTGTGTGTGTGTGTGTGTGTGTGTGTGTGTGTGTGTGTGTGTGTGTGTGTGTGTGTGTGTGTGTTACAGGACTCACGCGAGTTGGGTTTTGCCTGCTCCAGGTGCACCACAGAACTCTGTGAGCTTGCGCGGTTCGATCCCACCTCCCAGCAGCTCATCAAAGTCACGAGTGAGTGTAGAGAGGCTGTGCAGCTGCTCTTCTCGCCTCAGTCCAGAAAACACCGTCGATGACTGCAAACATGAGGACAAGGGGTGGGGGAGGGTGGGGAGAAGAAGTAAAACAAGAAAGGGAAGAACGCAACGCAGCGCAGCGCACGGTACGTGTGAGTTGATGCAGATGTAAACGGTGGCAGCTTGAGCAACGGGAAGGGCGCGGGGGAAACGCGTGTTATACCTCAACACCTGACGAGGAGTCATCCTTGATCTGGCGAAGAATCTGGGCAGCTTCTTCCTCACCAATCTCCAACTCTGACCAGTGGGCAAGTGTGCGAGCATGGTGCGTGTGTGTGCGTGTGTGCGTGCGTGTATGTGTGTGTGTGTGTGTGTGTGTGTGTGTTGGGGCTGCTGATCAGCTGCTGTTGAATGCAACGGCTCAAATAAAGGCCCTCCACACTCATCGCCATGCCAGCAACCTTGATAACACACACATGCACGTTTGTACGAGCATTGCGTACCTTTGCTGAGCTCCGCAACTGTCACATATTCCAGGTCACCAACAGTCTCATAGCCTGTGCGTGTTTGTGCATGGCGAGCAGGCCCAAGCATGTGGCCGCATCAACCAGGATAATGGTGTCAAGCAACGCAAGGCAAGCAAGGCAAGCAAAACCCAAATTCAGTCCTACCTGGACTGGAGCATTCACACACCGCAAGCAACTCCCCCCCCCCCCAACTCCACCTCTCCCATGTGTCTGGCCTCACGCTTCCTTTCCTTTGCACCGCCTCCGCCTTCTCCATCCGTCGCTCGTCCCTGCCTGTGTCTCTCTCCATCTCTTCCTCCGCCAAGCCTCCCTCTCGCGCCCTCTCGCACCGTCCTCACAGCATGCACTGACCACATCGTGCCAACTTGTGTGTCTGCCCGGCAGTGAGCCGACAAGCTGAAACAGGTTTCCTACTCATAGCTCCGTGTCCTATAAATGGGATTTCACATAAAAGTTTGGGCGAGCGCCACCCTGCCAACCCTGCCGCTACCAAGCAAAAGGCAGCAAAGGCAAGCAGCCAGCAACCGTCCCCTCCCCCAAACAAACAACAAACAACAAGACCACGACCACCACCAACAACAACAACAGCAACAACAACACAAAATAAGAAAGGCATCGCCGCCGTACAAGGGTGTGCAGACACAGCAAGAAGCACGCCACCCAACACTCGAACAAAACAAGAGCAACAATAACCACCACAGCTCCACTGCATCTCTTTGCTTGCCAGTGTTGCCGCCATCCCCCTCCCGCTCAAGTGTGCGTGCCGTGCACAGGCGAGCACAGGGCGTTTTGGTGAGCGTGTTTGACCCCTTTGCTCTGCCGCGTGCGTGCTCACGGCTGCGTGTGTGTCAGCAGACTGCAGGACATGGCTAGCTCAGCAACACCATCTCGGCATAAGGCGCTGCGGCGCTGGAGCTCTGTGATGCTGCTCGCTTTGGCCGCCACTGCTTGTCTCTGCTTCACGCCTGTTCAAGGTGCGATTGCGGGTGTGGAGCTGGTTCAACTGGTGGTCAACTGGTGGTCAACTGGTGGTCAACTGGTGGTCAACTGGTGGTTGCGCGAGGCGGAACTAGGGAGGGAGGGAGTGTGGGGTTTGGGGGGGGGAGAGGGGCAGATGGTGAGTTGGTGAAGCTTAAGCTATTCATCACTTGCCGAACGCACGCACACAGATGTGCACAAATGCATCCATGCTGGCGGTACTTGCACACGGCTATTGCACAAATGTACAGCACTTTCATCACATGCAACTCATTGCGCTGAACTGCATATGCGTTCCATGTTTTGGCTTTCCTCTCCTTCTTCTCCTCCTTGCCTTGGGTAGGTGTTGGCCCTTATCGCCTTGATCTGGCGGTTGACTCCACCAGCAAAGTGGTGGGAGAAGGCCTGCAGGTGCAAGTGACAGCGAAAGACAGTACCGGCGTGACTGCCACGTCGTTCGATGCCTTTCAAATACAGCTCGCCACCAATGGCAGTGCGCTGCCTGCATCGTCCACCATTAGCATCAGCCCGTCAAGCCCCTCGGCGTTGGTTGTGCTTGTGGATCAACGAGCAGAGACCATCCAGGTGTCGCTTGTGTCAACGGCCTCAACGCCTGTCGAAACCGACATTTCTGCAACCGTCAGCGTGTCCTTCGCTCCAGGTGAGCAACGACGCAAGTGCACATCACCAACGCTTGGCGCATAAACACACACGCGCGCACACATGTACACCCTCACTCACTTGCATCGCATGCCCGCACGTGTACATACGCACACGTCCACATGTCCACATGTGCACATCTTACGCACACGCACACATGCACACAAAACCACACATGCACACACCCTCACTTGCTTGCCCCGCACGCACGCACATTCACGCACACAAACACACATTCACACTCACACATTCACACACGCATTCACACACATTCACACACACACACACACACACACACACACACACACACACACACACACACACACACACACACACACGCACGCACGCACATGTGCACACAAAAACACGCTTCGTTGTGCCGACCCTGCACCGGTCATCAGGTCCGAGCCACGTGGTTGAACTGGATGCAAGTACAACCAGCACGTCCGTGGATGAAGTGCAGGATGTGCTCGTTCGGGTGTATGACCGATACGGCAACCTTGCCAGCAGCGAAGAGAGGGACGTTGAGGTGGACGTCGCTTATGATGATCTGCAGTTGGTGAATCTTCTGACCGGGTCCAGCACCGTCGATATTGTCGGCGGGAAGGGGCTCTTTCGATTCCAAGGATCAACAGCACCTGCCCAAGCCACGCTCTCGCTTCTCGACACCTTCAACACGGGCCTGACAATGGGTGATGAGGTCATAATTGCACTGCAACCCGGTGCGTAACCCGCACATCATGAGCATGTGTGTGTGCGTGTGCATGTGCGTGTGCGTGTGCGTGTGCGTGTGTGTGCACATGTAGCAAGTGGCAAGTGGTGATGCAACAAGCTTGATGGTGCTCGGTTTGGCGCAACAAGAGTGCTGGCGCTGGTTGCAGGGTCGCGCTCGCTGGTTCGCTCGAAGCCCATCACAATGGCTCTCACCCCCCCCCCCTCCGAATAAACGTGCGTGTGTTTTTTGTTTTTGTTTTTCTTCAGGATCTGGCGTTGCTCTGCAGTTCGACCACACCATCGCGGACCCCGTTGTTGGCACGGCTGCCTCCATCGAAGTCGACATCGTTGACCAATATGGCAACGTTGCGTTAACCACATCAACCACGTTCACCGTCAGCGCAAATGGCTCCGCGTCCATCCTGGCGCAGCCGTCGGGCGGGTACGATGCATCCCCGTCAGCCACGGTCTCGCTTGCAAACACCATTGCCGAGCAGGTGGAGCTGCGTTTTGCGTCCGTGGCAGATGGGACACTCGACATTTCAGACACGCTCCAGCTCAACTTTCAACCATGTTAGTTTGGCTGCGACCCGCAGCGAGCGTAGCTGTTGAACAGGCACCTGCCAATCACGTGTTTTGGTTTGGTTCAGCCACACGTCGTCAACATGCGCGCTTTTCTCACACGCTGTCCTGTGCACCACGCTCACATCAATGACGACGCCCGCTTCCATCCCGCACCCTTGTCCCTTCGGGGTTCCCCTTGCTACTACTTACACTCCGCTAACTCACACGCTCACACACACACACATTCACACGCACACACACACACACATACACACACACTCACGCACACACACTCACGCACACACATACACACACACATACACACACAGCGGCGGTGACCACGATTGCGTTCCGGGATCTCCCCTCCTCGCTCTCTGTGGATGAGGAGCTTCTGCTGCAGATGGTGGCCGAAGACCAGTTTGGAAACCTGGTGGGCATGAGCGGGTCCGTTGCCATCACAGCTTCGCCCGCGGCAGAGGTGCTCAGCACGCAACTGACCCTCACACATGGACGCGCATACGGTGCCATGAGAGCAACGGTGCCGGACACGTATACCCTGAGCGCAACGCTGACTGCCGCGAGTGACGGCAGTACTGTCTCCAACACCCGCCAGGTTGTCTTCACCGTTGGCCAGCCAGTTGCCCTCGACTTTGGCCAGGAGGCCTACAGCACCGAGGTCGGTACGCCAGCCACCGTGGTGGTGGAGGCTGTGGACCAGTTTGGCAACGTCGTCAACTCCGTCACGGGTTCTGCGAGCCTGACGACCAACGGCACCAACGTGCTTGGGCTCAGCACCATCACACTGTCCAGTGGGCGCGCCTCGCTGTCGCTGGGGTCAACAGTTGCGCAGACGGCGGTGCTGGCATTTCAAAACGCCAACCTCAACAATGGCCTTCAGCTTGCACTCAACAGAACCGGCGCCGTCATCTTCCAACCAGGTTTTAGCCCATCCTTGCGCATGTGCCAATGGCCACTCGCACACTCCCGCATACATATACACGCACATACCTGCGTTGCTCCCAAACACAGTCCACGTACACACTTTGCGCTCATGGCACACAAGGATCAAAGTGTGCACGTAGATATACAAAGCCACACAAACACACAAGCACACACGCACACGCACACAAACACACAAGCACACATACACAAGACACACACACACACACGCACAAGTACACACATACACACATACACACGCATGCACGCACACGCACATACACGCACAAGTACACACATACACACACGCATGCACGCACACGCATGCACAGATTCCACACCGTGTCAGCGATTAAGAGCCTCTTGCATCTACATGTGGTTCATGTAACTCCTGCACACACACACACACACACATACAGGATCTGGAGAGAGCATGACACTTGAGGTGCAGGAGACAATTCTGGCTGCGGAGACGCTGCGTATTGCAGTCACCGCGCGTGATCGCTTCAACAACATTGCCACAGGCGCTTCCTTCCAGGCCACAGTCTCGTTTGCGGGTGAAGCCCTCCCATGCCAGTCAGTTGCTGGCGTGTGCCGCGTATCCCTTGTGCCGCTCATTGCAGGTCCCGTGACCATTGCTGCATCTTCGTCAAGCTTTGCCTCCGTGACAGTCCAGCGTGTGGTGCAGCCGAACGTCGCCGCTCGCCTGCGGTTTGCAGTGGAGGCGCTACCTGCCCGTACCAGCGTGGACGACCAGGTGGAGCTCCCTGTCTACGCGGAGGATGTCGCAGGCAACCTGCAGCCAAAGTTCAACGGCACTACAGCCATTGCAGCATCAGCCAGCGACATGGGTGTGGTGAACTTCTCCAGCCCCGTTACCGTCACGCGTGGTGTTGGCACAGTCATGGTGACGAGCACGGCAGTGCAAGCAGTGCACCTGAGCTTCCAGTCGGCCTCGAACGCTGCGCTCGACATCAGCAACACCACCGTACTCGACTTTCAGCCCGGCTATCCCGTCCTTGCGCAGTTCTCGCTCATGAGCAGCGGTGGCTCTGTACTCACGGTGGACGAAGCGCACACCCTGACCGTGACGCTCGTGGATCAGTATGGCCACGTGGCAAGCGGGTTCAATGGCCCCTTGCCTTTGCAGAGCTCCCCACCCGTGCTTAACGTCAGCGAGGCGCTGATTCACGAGGGCCAGGCTATTCTGGCTGTGGGGTCAGAGGTGCCTGCTGCTGTGAGTGTGGTCCTCAACACGTCCTCTGCAGGAATTACCGTGCCGCCGCCTGTGTCATTCACCTTCCTGTCCGGCGCCACAGTATCGATTGCGCTGCGTCTTCCCAGCAACGCCTCTGTTGATGGCGATCCACTGCAAATGCGCGTGCTTGCGCTGGACCAGTTCTCCAACGTGGCGACAGCAGAGCAAGGCTCAGTCCAAGTGGATCTCACTGGAACTGGGTTGACCCCCTCATCTGGCAGCTCGCAGTTCCAAAACGGCGTCACCACGCTGCAGTTTAGGACACAGCTGCCGCAAACCATCACTGGGACTGCCACGGCCGCCTTGAGCGCCAATGCGCCGTCATCCCCATCCAGCGCCACAACCACCGTCCAAGCAACCATCGCTGCAGGTGTGTGTGTGTGTGTGACTGCGGGTGGTTTATTGCGTGTTAGTTCATGTCGATGGTGGTATGACTACATGGTGGGCGGAATGGAGAGGCACAGCAGTAGCGGTGTGCTGGTTTACTGTTGCCGTTGCTGCCGTTGTGTCGTTGCGTCTCCTCGACTCAACATGCGTGGCGCTCGCTTGGCAAGTGCACACACTCGCTCATACATGTGAACACATGCATGCGCTCAATTCGTCAACCAATACACACACACACACACACACACACACACACACACACACACGCGCGCGCACACACACACACACACACACACACACACACAACAATACATACAGGGTCGCTGGCAAAGTTCGTTTTGAACACGACATCTTCGGCTATTGTTGGTCATCCTTGGACAGCACGTGTGGTTGCGTTGGACCAGTATGGGAACTTTGCACCTAGCTTCACGGGTGTTGCTGTGCTTCGCGCCAATACCACAACTTGGGACGTTTCCGTTATTGCTGGGGTTGGCGAGTTTACGTACACGTCCAACACCACCGGGGAGGTTGTGTTTGAGGTGCTCTCCAGCACACAAACCGGCGACGTCGTCGACGATTCCATCACAGTCACCTTCAATCCAAGTGAGTCGCGCGTGTTGTTATTTGCTGTTGTTGCTGCTGCTGTTGTTGTGTATTTGGTGGCATCTTCGGCGCTGTGGTTCTCTCGTCGTTTCCGCTGCCTATCTGCTGCGGCCTTTGCGCGAGCGTGCGAATGTGTGTTGCTCACCTGACCTTCCTTTCCCGTAACATTTCCCAGGACAAACACGGAGCTTCGTGCTGCGAGGCGACAGTGAAAGCAGCGTGGATGATGCGGCGAGCATTGCCTTGCTTGCCCTCGACGAATTTGGCAACGTCAACACCGCAGAGAATACGCGGCTGGAGGTGCTCGGGAGCGGATCTGCAACTGGGTATGGCCAAGTCGACGTTGTTGATGGCCGTGGTGACTTCAGCATTCGCAACACGCTCCCGGAGACGATTCAGCTGCGCATCCGGCCCAACTTCAGCCGGCCCCTTGTCGACTTTACCTCCACGCATGACATCGAGTTCTACCCAGGTCAGTGTGGCTGTTTATCATGATGGTGCCACGTTGTTCTGTGTGAGCGCGGTGGTTTGGTTGCTGTATGAGCCCTGGCTATTGCACGTGTACTTGTACCTAGGGAAGGGCCAAACGCGGAGACGAACGAAGCATTTTGGTTGTGGATGGAGATTGTAGCAATGGTCTCTTTCAGCGCCTCTTCCTTCTCAACACACACACACTCACACACACTCACACATAACCCAACCCAACCCCCAAACACATCATTCACCACCCCCCCCCCCACACACACACACAAACTCTCACACAGGTGCCGCGGTGCTGTTCGAGGTGACCGAGTTTGCCAACTCCATTGCGGGCGAGTATGTGAGGATCGAAGTGCGTGCGAGGGACCAGTTCAACAACACGGCAATTTACGAGCAGCGCGACGTCACAATGCAAGCCCGTGGCGGCCGAACCGGAGACAGCGTCGTGCTTCGTGACGAAGCCACAACGTACTTTGGCGACGCGCCCGTTGCCATCACCAACGGTGTCGGCTACATCAACGTGACGAGCTTCTCCTCCGAAAGTGTGACGCTCGAGCTCACTGCACTCCCGGGGGCAGGCAGCATTCGCGCTGGTCCTGTGGTGACAGTGACGTTCCAGCCCGGCGCGTTGCTGCAGTGTAATCTGCGTGCCCGCAACTACACTGCCGACACCACGCGCCCAGCCCTTCTGCACTACACCTTCAACATGAACACGAGCGTGATCTCGCTCACTTTTGACGAGACAATGAAGCGGTCGAGCCTGAACCTTTCACAGCTTGTGCTGCAGAGCATCGACGACCCAACGGATTCTGCGCTCGAGCAACACGTGTTCCAGTCCCCGGGTACCATCCTCAACAACAAGGATGACCTGGAGCTGAACATCCGCCTCAACGACTCGGATGTCTTCCTGATTAAACTGAATGACCGCCTCGGTGTGTCGCGTGCAACATCCTACATCAGCTTTCCTCCGACATTTGTCACGGACATGGCTGGCAACGAGGTCGTGGAGGCTCCTCCGGCCGGAGCCAGGCGCACGGACGTGTATGTTGCGGACACCACGCCCCCGCGCGTTGTCGACGTGGCCGTGAACATGAGCAGTGGCGTGCTTCGCTTCGAGGTTTCCGAGCCCATCGATGCCAACAGCATTGACATTGCACAGCTCGTCATCACAAATGACGCCAACACGCAGGCACTGTCCGTGCAGGGCCAAGCCACGGTTGTCCCTGACAGCCTCAGCTTGGTGTTCGAGGTTGTGCTCTCGTCCGAAACATATGACAATCTGCTCAGCAGCCCTCTGCTTGGATTCAATGCCACCACGACGCAATTAAGCCTTGCTGCCGGGTTTGTTTCCGACATTGCCCGGCCGACGCCCGTTGCGTCGCTGGAGGACCTCAACATCACGCCAGGTGCCTTTGTTGGCGATGCGGTGCTGCCGGCTCTTGCACAGGCGCAGCTCGACCTTGGCCTTGCCCGCCTGCACCTCGAGTTTTCAGAGCCCCTTGAGCTGGATAGCATCGACCCGACGGCGCTGCAGCTCCAGGCCAACGCCGACGGCAGCGGCATGTCCAACTCGGACACCTCAGACCCGATGCTCGTGTCGCGCTTCTTCCTGTCCAACGACACAGGCGTCATTTACATAGATCAGCTTGGTGTGGGCACGGGCTCTGCCCACAGGAAGCGTTACGTCTCGCTGCTGCTGACGCGTGCCGATATGCGTGTGTTGAAGCTCAGCCAGCCCTTCTCTGCCTCTGGCCCATATGTTTCCTGCGCATCAACCCTGGCCGCCGACCGTTCTGGAAACGGCGTGCAGGTCATTCCGGCAGCACAGGGCAGCGCAGTTGCGTCCGTCCTGCCCGACGCAGTGTCGCCCCTGCTTGAGTTTGCCGTGCTGGACATGAACGCTGGCACGCTCTTGCTTGGGTTTGATGATGTGATGGATGTGGCTGCCGTGGACGCGACCGCCATGCGTCTGCAGAACGCGCAGTCCTCACCAACCCAGAGCTTGCAGCTGTCAGCAGCCACCACAGTGCAGGCCAACACAACGTCCGACTATGAGCTGGTGATTGCCCTTTCCGACAGCGACCTGAATTTGCTCAAGGCGGAGCTGGACGGCCTCGCACTCTCCCCAGCCAACACATTTGTGAGCCTCGGCGTTGCTGCTGCGCTAGATGTTGCCGGCAACACCCTGGTGGCGGTTCCGGCGACCAACGCAGCCCAGGTACGCGCCGTGCTGCCAGACACAACTGCCGGACAGCTCTCTTCATGGGCACTGAGCCTCGAGAGCGGCAATATTGCGTTGACCTTCTCCGAGACGGTGAACATGAGCACGTTCGACCTCAATGATTTTACGCTTGTTGCAGGGGCAAGCCCCATGCAACCGTCTGCTTCGTTGGCTTTGAACCTCGGATCAGCGGCACAGGCCACCCAACAGACTGCAGCTCCAAATGTGGTGCTGGTGTCCATGGGCACGCCCCTGCTGAATGCTCTGAAGAGCAAGACTGCCCTGTGCACCTCCGCGGGCAACTGTCGCATCGCCTGGCCAGCGCCGTCCCTTCAGGACACCTCGCACGTTGTCTTTCAAGGCATCGGGTGGGCACAGGCACAGGCGGCAGCCACCGTGGACGCCGATACAACGGCACCCGCCCTGCTTGGGTTCTCGTTCTCGGTCTCCTCCGGCATCCTGGTGCTGTCCTTCTCTGAGCCCGTCGATGCCAGCACGCTACAGCCCACAGACATTATCCTGCAGGACCACGACCCCAGAGACGTGGGCACACCGCTTGAGGTGCTGGCCCTCAGCGGCGCCAGCAACATCACATCTCTGTTCGAGCAGCAAGCCGTGCCCACGATCAACTATGACGTGGAGGTGGTGATGCTCAAGGCGGACGTCGATGCGCTGAAGCTCAACACCCTGCTTGCCGTGAGTGCACAGACAACATTCCTGACGCTGCGCGCAAGCGCAGTGCGCGACGTGTCGAGTAACGCCATTGCACAGGCGCTTGGCCTGTCTGTGAGCCAATTTGAAGCCGATCTGGTCTCGCCCGAGCTGGTGGACGCAAAGCTGGACCTGACTTCCCGCACACTCCTGCTCTCGTTTACCGAGCCCGTGCTGGCAAGCTCCGCGGACGCCACCGCAATCACCCTCCAGGATGCACAGAGCAGCAGCTCCGTCTCCCACCGCCTGTCTGCGCTGACAACAACAAACACGGCCAACGGCAACCAACTGGTGTTTCAGATTGCAGCGGACGACTTTGACACCGTCGCCCGCCTGGAAGGGCTTGCGGAGAGCAGCAGCAACGCCTTTGTCGTGGTGGAGTCAACGCTGGTGGTGGACATGAACAGCAACTCGCTCGTGCCTGTCCCCGCTTCCTCTGCTCTCGGCGTTTCCGAGTTCACGCCCGATTCCCAGGCGCCCGGAGCTGTGCTTGCGCGCCTCGACATGGACGCTTTCTTGCTCACGCTGGAGTTCAACGAGACGGTCCGCACGTCCTCGCTTCGGGTGACGCACCTGACAGTGCAGTCGAGCGCAGACTCGGCTGCTGGCGCCGCCTCCATCCCCACTTCAAGCGTGCCGCTGACATCCGAATGCACGGTTGTTCAGCCGCAGCGCAACAACGTGTCTGTGCAGGTTTCCTTGTCCCGTGCCGTCGTCGACGCGATCAAGGCGCGGCCCGCTCTCGCCACGAACGCAGCTTCCGCTTGGGTCTCGCTGGCAAGCGGCGCTATTGAGGACATGCACGGCAACGCACTGGCGGCCGGTGCTGTTGTGGCGACTGTGGCGTATGTTGCGGATGCAACACAGCCTACCCTGGACGCGTTTGACTTGGACATGGACGCCGGTCTCCTGACGCTGTCCTTTTCCGAGACGGTGAATGGCAGCAGTGTTGTGCCGGCACGCCTGGTTGTGTACAACGGAGGTCTCTCTACCGAGCAAGCACTTGTCCAGCAGTGGCTTGCGGGCAATGGTAGCGACAGCACCCTCGACTCTGCCCAGGTGAACCCCAGCCTGGGGCTTGTGCAGCTGAGTGGCGTGCAGACCCAGCCCAGCGTCTTCGCCGCGGTCGTGTCCCTTCCGTTGACGACAGCAGACCTGAACAACCTCAAGCAGCGCCCGTCTGTGGCCACCAATGTCAACAACACATTTGTGGCACTGAGCAGCGGCTTTATTCGGGACATGGTGCACTTGCCCGTGCTTGAAGTTGGGAGCACGCCCGCGCAGCACCTCTCTGCCTCCAGCGTCACGGCGGACGCTACCAGGCCTACCCTCTTTGCTGCCAGCCTATCGCTGGCAAACAACATGGGCGCGCTCTCCTTGACCTTTGATGAGCCCGTGCAAGCGTTTGAGCTTGATGTGACGGCAATTGTGTTGCAGAACAGCGCCAATGCATCCAGCCCGTCTCCGTTGAACCCACCAGCGACCTCATTCCAGGCGCACCGCCTCTCGGCAGGCAGCCGCGTTTCGGCCACCAACGCCAACTATACACGCGTCGTGGACGTGGTTATTGCAACCACTGACTTGCACGACGTGAAGCTGCTGACGGGACTTGCTGTCAACCAGGGCACAACGTACGTGCAGCTGGATGCGGGCACCGTTGCAGACATGTCTGAGCCGCTCCCCAACGACCTCGCACCCATGGCAGCGGCACTGCAGGTTGCCTCGTTTGCGCAAGACAGCGCAGCGCCGTCCCTGACGTCCTTCTCCCTGGATCTTGACTTGGAGCAGCTCACGCTCAACTTTGATGAGCCCGTCAACGCGTCCACGTTCAAAGCCCAGGCAATTACGCTTCAAGCAGCAGCAGGCATCACCAGTCAGCAGCAGCACACGCTCACTGGCGGTGTTTCCATGAGCACTAGTGGCCTGCAGCTGCTCGTCAACATGACCAAGGAGGATGTGGATCAAATCAAGCTCTATGAGGGCTTGTGTCTTGATAACACCACGACGTTCATCAGCGCATCTGCAGACCTGGTCAGGGACATGGCAGGAAATGCGCTCTCACCAGTGAGCAGCACTTCGGCGCTGGCTGTCGCTGGCTTTCAGCGCGACACGCGCGCGCCACGGCTCGTGTCGTTTGACCTGGATATGAGGCTCAACACCCTCACGCTGAGCTTCAGCGAGCCCGTGGATGCCACGTCGCTGGTCATCGGCGGGCTGCGGCTCATGGCAGACTCTTCTGGCATTGTGGCGCCAGTGTACGCCCTCTCCAGTGGTAGCAGTGCGTTGGCTGCCTCGTCCCTGGTCGATGCGTCTTCCCTCACCGTCAACATTGGGGCCAATGACGCAAACACCTTGCGCGTGCGCGAGATCGGCAACACACAGGCACGCGCTTGGCTGGCCTTGGATGCCGGTGCCGTGCAGGACCAAGCCGGTCTGCCAGTTGTGGCTCGCCTGGCTGGCCAGACGGCCCTTCAAGCTGCCAGCTATGTCGCAGACAATGTCGCACCCACCATTGTTCAAGCCAGCATCTCCATGCACGACGGCACCCTGACGTTGAGCTTCTCGGAGCCCATTCGAACCACCACGCTTGATGCCACTGCCATTGAGCTGCAAGCGACAGGAACCGGTGGCGAAACCGTTGCACTCACGTCTGGCACGACCCTCGTGTCCGGACCTCATGCACTGGGCCTGCTGCAGGCGACATTCCAGATGAGCACAGCTGATATCACTGCAGTTAAGGTTCGCCCAGGCCTGTGCACTTCAGCCAGCAACTGCCATGTCAGCGTTGGTACACGCGCGCTTGGCGGGGATATGGTGGGCAACGCCCTGATCAGCCAAACCGGCATTGGCATGAGCACTTTTACACCAGACCTCGGCCGCCCCTCTCTGCAGGGCTTCTGCCTCAACATGGACGCGGGGGTTCTCACCCTGAGCTTTTCCGAGGTGGTCAACGTGTCCTCTGTTCTGGTTTCTTCGCTGACACTGCAGTCGGCCGCAAACGCGTCGTCGGTGACGGGGGGAGGAGACGCGCTGTCCGCCTATCCCTTGGCGTTGTCGCTCGTGGGCAGCGTGGCTGCCAACACATCATCAGCTGGTGCCGGCACCGCTGAGTATAACACGGTTCTTGAGGTGTCACTCACACACGCCGCACTCAATGACATGAAGGCGATGCCTACCCTGGCTACCTCTCGCGACTCTACGTTCCTCAAGGCCACTGCCTTTACCGTTCAAGACACAAACGGCAACTGGCTGACAAGCGAGTATGAGCAGACGGCGCTGCGCGAGGGCGACTGCCACGTGGCAGACACAACCGCCCCGCAGCTTCGCTCGTTCAACCTGGACATGAACAACCTTGAGCTGACGCTCTCCTTCTCCGAGACTGTCAACGCCAGCAGCCTCACCAGCCGCTCTTTGAGCCTGGTCAGTTCACAGGCTGCGACACCTTCCGCCACTGTCACCCTGTTTGGTCTGGACCTGACGTATTGGGACCAGGACCTTGTTGTCATGGCGCTGAATGAGACGGTGGCCAACCGGCTCAAGGCCCTACCGGCCGTCGCCTCTCAATCCAGCAACACGTTTCTCACGGTGGACAACAGCAACGGCGTTGCTGTCAGAGATATGGCTGGCAACGCCATTGTCACCATTCCACCAGAGGCGGCCGTGCAGGTGACAAACTTCACCGCGGATCAGATCAAGCCCAGCGCAACGCAATTCGTGTTCAACTTAACCAGCGGGGTGCTGGATCTTGCTTTCGATGAGCCCTTGAACCTGTCCACCTTCGATCCGTCTGCGCTTGCGTTGGTGCCAGACAGCGATGGCGGTGGCAGTGGCGTTGTTGTCTCTGTCGGTGTTGACGGCACGCCCATCCCTGGACAGGATGCCTATCCAATGGGTGTTCGGTTTGTGCTTCAGGAGCATGTGTTGAACGAAATCAAGCGTCGCGCTGACCTGTGTTCGCGCGAAGACAACTGCTTCTTGGTGTTTGTGTCGCCCGTCGTCAAAGACACCTCCGGGAACCCGGCACAGGACAGCTTCAACCTTACATGTCTTCAGCTCTCGCAAGATATCGTATCACCGAATCTGGTGGCGGGGAGCCTGAACATGACAACTGAGGTCCTTACCCTCACCTTTGACGAGACGGTCAACGCATCCTCCTTCGATCTCACCAGCTTGCGCCTCAGCAGCAACAGCAGCATGGCCAGTACAATGCAGACAAACGCCAGCATGTACTGGTTTGCGGAGCAAGGGACGGTGCTGAGCGGAGACGGGCTTGTGATTGAGGTGTCGCTGTCTGCGTTTGATGTGTTTGAGATCAAGCGGCGGACGCTGCTGTGCGTTGACGCGGCGACGTGCGACGTGTCTGTTGACAGCGGGCTGGTGCGAGACATGAGCGGGAACGAGGTCGTGTCGACGGTTGTGAGCGGGGACGCCATTGGGGTGACGTCGTTTGGGGCGGATGTTGTTTCGCCCGCACTGACGGCGTTTTCGCTGGACATGGACGCTGCCCTCCTCACCCTCACCTTCGACGAGCCCATCAATGCCACGAGCCTCCGTCTTGCGGATGTGATCCTGCAGAACAGCAACAACAGCAACACTGGCTCCGTTGTTGAACAGGTGCGCGTCGCGACCAGCGTGGCCCGGCAGGGCTCACTGATTTCAAAGCGGGATCCGCTCATGCTGTCAGATTTGATTGAAGTGCAGCTGTCAGAGACGGATATGGAAGCGATCAAGCTTGCCCGACACACTGCCGTGTCAACAGCTTTCATAGCGCTGGGCGAGGGTGCTGTTGTCGACGCGGTCGGCAACCCTTGCGTGGAAGTTGCCACTACTGATGCCATGCAAGCGGACGCATTCCAAGCAGACTCTGTGCCACCCACCTTGGAGGCCGCTGAGTTGGATCTTGTTTCCGCCACCCTCACTCTGTCGTTCTCGGAGCCGACGGACATTGCCACCATTGCGCCCTCGGACATCGTCCTCCAACAGAACAACGAGAAACATGCGCCAGGGGAGAGTGTGAGGTTGCAAGGCGCCTCCAACGTGACGGGCGGGCCGTACGAATTGGTGGTGTCCCTGCTCACGGAAGATCTCCATCGTGTGTTTGTTGAGCGGAGCCTAGCTGTGAACGCAGCCAACGTCTCTGTGGCGTTCTCGGGCGCCCTCGTCTCTGACATGCAGGGCATTGCTGTGGCAACGAACAACACGCCTCTGGCCGTCGCGGCATTTACGCCGGATACCACACGACCCGCGCTGGAGAGCTTCGCCTGGAGTGTGGACGCGGGTGTGCTGACGCTGACCTTCAGTGAGCCCATGGACGCCAACACAACGTTCAACGCAAGCGCCATCACACTGCAATCGTCGGACGCTGCGCCGGTCTCTTCCTTGAGACTGGCTGGTGTGCGCGGTGTTGCTGCGCTTCCACCGCTGTTCAAGGTGGTGACAATCACAGTGCTGGAGGACGATCTCAATACCGTCAAGCGCTTTACCGGCCTTGGCACCACCGTGCAGGACACGTTCCTCGCCATGGACGAGACCGCATGCGCGGACATGCATGGCAATGCGGTGGTCACCATCGCAAGCGACAGTGGTCTGCAAGCCGCCGCAGTCTCTGCTGATGTGACTGCACCACAGCTGGTGGCGGCGAGCCTGAACATGACGACTGAGGTCCTCACCCTCACCTTTGACGAGACGGTCAACGCATCCTCCTTCGATCTCACCAGCTTGCGCCTCAGCAGCAACAGCAGCATGGCCAGTACAATGCAGACAAACGCCAGCATGTACTGGTTTGCGGAGCAAGGGACGGTGCTGAGCGGAGACGGGCTTGTGATTGAGGTGTCGCTGTCTGCGTTTGATGTGTTTGAGATCAAGCGGCGGACGCTGCTGTGCGTTGACGCGGCGACGTGCGACGTGTCTGTTGACAGCGGGCTGGTGCGAGACATGAGCGGGAACGAGGTCGTGTCGACGGTTGTGAGCGGGGACGCCATTGGGGTGACGTCGTTTGGGGCGGATGTTGTTTCGCCCGCACTGACGGCGTTTTCGCTGGACATGAATGCTGCCCTCCTCACCCTCACCTTCGACGAACCCGTGCTGCCAGCTTCCATCAACATCCAGAACGTGTCGCTAGCCGCCGAGGGAGCTGCTGGTTCAGTGTTGCTCGTGACCGTGGATGGGCAAGTGAGCCTTGATGTACAGGATACGGAGCTCGCCGTGTTGCTGACGCGCGCTTGTGCTAATGGCGTGAAGAGGCTGCGTCATCTCGCCGTGAATGCAAGCACGGCCTCCCTTGTGTATGGGGCTTTTGTGACCGATACAAACAACAACGCCCTGCCCACCTCCCAAGCAGCACTGGTGCGCGCAGACACCTTCGTTGCGGACGCAACGGCTCCCACAGCCATCAACGCCAGCGTGGATTTGGACCAGCTGCGCCTCACCATCCTGTTTGACGAGCCTGTGGAGCCGAGCTCGCTGCGCTTGGCGAGCTTGCGCGTGCAAAACCTGGCTGCCGGCGCGAGCGTTGCTCTTCCGCATTCGCGCGCGACATCTGGCGTTGGGCGTCTGCTGACGGTCGCCATTCACCAGCGCGACGCCGACGCAATTCAGCTTGACCTTGCGCTGTGCTACAGCAGCGATTCATGCAGGGTGAACATGGACCCAGCGGCCATTACCGATATGCAGGGCAATGGGATTGCCGGTTTCTCTGCGCTGGAGCCCGCCGTCTTCGTTGAGGACCGTGTGCAGCCTGCGCTGGAAGCCGCAGCCCTGGACATGCAGCGCGGCCTCCTACACCTCAACTTCTCGGAGGCCATGCACTTGGGGTCGCTGGTGAGCACCGCCGTGCGTATTGCAGATCCGCAGTTTGCCGGCAGCAACCGCACAGACCCTGTTGTGCAGGGCAGTGTTGTGCTTTCTGCGGATAGCGCAGTAACCAGTGAGTTTCAGGGTGTAAACGGAACGCGGGTGACCCTCGCGCTGAGTGACGGTGACATGCACCGGCTGAAGGTGCATGTTCCCTGCGCCGCTGCTGTGGTGGTTGCCTCTGGGCAGGCGCCGCCTGCCTCGTGTATTGTGGTTGTTGCTGAGGGAGGCATCACAGACATGTCGGCGAATCCGCTGCCGGTTACCAACCTGACCATTGGTGTGTTTACTCCTGACACCACAAGCCCAGAGATGCTGTCATACACCATCAACATGAACAACGAGACCTTGCTTCTGACATTCAACGAGCCCGTGGATGTGGACACGGCAGCGTGCAGTGGGGGCACATTGCGCGCACAGGTATCCACGAGCCTGGCTGCGGGGTCCGCAACCTACGACCTCACGGGATGCCGGTCTGTTGTTGTGCACGATGATGTGCGGCTGCAGCTTGCAGTTCAGCTGACGTACGACGATCTGCAAGCAATTCGCCTCTTCGCCAGCCAGACGCTGTGGAAGACGGCGACCAACGCCTGGTTGAGGGTGTTTCCATCCTTTGTGGCGGATATGAGCGGGAACGCGATGGCGGAGTTTGATCCTCTCATCCCCGCCACGCCGTTTGTCCCGGACACAACGGGGCCGCGGCTTGTGTCAGCAGCCCTCAACCTGACGGCCGAAACTCTCCAGCTCTCCTTCTCCGAGGCCGTCACGGTGGGTACGCTTGATGCTTCCCAGCTTCGCTTTGGCAACAGGACGGCTGCTGTGGTTGCAGCTGGGTCTGTGCTCTACCCGGCAGGGCAGCTGGACGGCGATCAGCTGCAGCTGCAGCTTGCCGAAGCGGACCTGGACTTCCTCCTCGGGTACGGGCCGCTACTGAACACATCCGCCCTCACGCTTTCTGTTGCTGCGCAGCTGGTTCAGGACACCTTTGGGAACCAGGCACAGCCCAGCGCCTTGCAGCTGTTTGATGTTGTGGTGCCAGACCTGAATCGTCCCAGCCTGGCCGCTGTCAATGAGGTCAACCTGCACGTGGGCACGGTCACAGTCACGTTTGATGAGCCCGTACCGCTGGAGAGCATCAGGAGCGAGGCACTGGTGTTTGTGTTTCCAACCACAGGCAACACGGTTCAGCTGACCAGCGGAAATGACGTGGAGTATGTGCGCGTGTTTGGTTCCGCCGGCTGGCGCCGACACGTGCGCATTTCACTGACGGAGGAGGATCGCCTGGCCTTTGCCGTCCAGCTGTCCACAAACTTCACTGTGCAGGCGTCCAGCCCCTTTGCCTCCGACGTGGTTGGAAATGCGCTGCTGTCCGTTGCGGGACTCGTGCCTGCGCTAGTAGTCGAGGATACGCGCAACCCGCGCCTGCTTCACTTCACTGCCAACCTGGATGCGGGGTCGTTCTCCTTCCGCTTCGACACGCCTGTCAACACAAGCACCCCGCGTGGGCCGGCAACCCTCACGGTGCAAGCGGGTGCGGACATGAGCGCCATTGCATCGGACGTTGCTTCATGGTACACCCTCGTTCAGCCCCTCGACGTGCCCCTGGGCCACCCCGCTGCTTCTTACACCGTCAATGTCACGCTTCGGGCAGGTGATTTGAATGCCATCAAGGCGCGAGACGCGCTCATGGTGTCCCAGGCCACCACTTGGGTGTCCCTCGCAGCTGGCTTTGTGCATGGCATGAACCAGCAGCCGTCACAAGGCGTGCCTGCGTCCAATGCCATGGCTGCGTCCGCATTCACGCAAGACACAACACCGCCAGAGTTGGTGTCGTTTGAGCTTGACCTTCACAACGGCACCGTGACGCTGGAGTTTAGTGAAACTGTGGATGCAGCCACGCTCAACGTGAGCGCCTTGTCAATCGCAGGTGCTCAGAGCAGCGTGGCTTCCGCCGCCCTCGCTGGCCAGGCGCCCCCGTACTTCTTTGTGCCGCTAACAACGGCAATGATGTCTGGATTGGGAGCAGGCGATGCGGATGTTGCTGGGGGTTTGCTCAGCAGCAGCCTTGTGCCTGCGGCCAGGCTTCCAACCACGCGCGTGCATGTGTCCCTCGGATCCATTGACCTCACCGCCATCAAAACGGGCTTGTACGGATCACCCACAGCTTCGCTCTCGTCAACGGAGCCCGCGGGCTTGCTGCGCGAGTCGGACACAGAACCCGTGGTGCTGGCTGCACTGCTGCTTGACAATGCAATCTTGGATATGGCTGCCGTTGCCAATGCCATGGCCGGCGCTGCAAATGGCAACGTGGCCACGCGACAGCTGGGCAGTGACGGTGATGGGGTTGGTTTTGTCGCGGACGCGCGCACGCCGCAGCTGGACACGCTTGCACTGGACATGAGCGCAACTCGGGCAGAGCTGAGCCTGACCTTCTCCGAGATTATTGACCTCGGGTCCGTGAATGCCACACTCATCAGCATGCACACAGCAAACAACAGCGTGACTGGCGCTCCGGCATCACACGAGCTACGCCCTGGCAGTAGCGTGATGATACCATCGACGGTGGAAGCCCCATGTTGCGTTGGGCAGACGATGGTTGTGCAGCTGTCGCTGCAGGACACGCTTGCGCTGAAAGCAAAGGGCATAGGCGCCGATGTCGCCGCCAGTGTCAGCTTCGGCAGCGGTATGGTCAGAGATGTGGCAGGCAATGACGTGGCAGAGCGTGCCGATGTTCCATTGCGTGAGCTTGCCCGCGACACGACTTCGCCGCTGCTTGTGTCTGGGGCCTTCAACCTGTCGTCGGCGGTGCTGTTCTTGAGCTTCGATGAGCCCGTGCGCTTCGAGCGCTCGCGCATTGCCCTCGACGGCATCACATTGCGCGCGAGGGGTCAGTCCGTGCAACTCAACAATGCGAGCGTCGTGGACGTGGTTGCGTCCAACCCGAGCGCTCCCCAACAGGCATCCATGGCAGGGTCAATCACCCTCACGCAAGCCCGCATGAACGAGCTCAAGCTCAAGCTTGGGCCAGACCTCGCCAGCGTCGTGGTTGACCTGCGTGCTGGCACGTTTCTGGACACGGCGCTCTTGCCCGACAACGGAAACGACGCGCAGCAGGTGAACGCGAGCGTCACCTTGGACCACGTCGCACCGCGGCTGCTCTGGTTCAACTTCAACATGAACACTCGCCAACTGCAGCTGGTGTTTGACGAGCCAATGCAGGCCTCCCTCGACCCGAGCCAGGGCTTTGTGGCTGGCAGTGCTGCCATCACGGCAGGTGGTAGCGTCCCTTTGACCAACACGTCCGTTGATCCCGCTGCCGTCGACAGCACCGTGGTGATGCTGAATGTTGGCGCCGCGGACCTGGATGCCATCAAGCTTGCAGAGGCAGTGTTCCGGAACCAGAGCACCGCGTACATTGGCTTTTCCAGCGGCTTTGCGCAGGACCTTCAGGGCAACGCCATCCTTGCTGCCGGCAGCGACGTTCCGCGCGTGCAGGCCAACGCATTTGTCTCGGATAGCGTGGAGCCGCAGCTGGTGAGGTATGCGCTGAACATGACGAGCGGCGCGCTGTCTCTGACCTTCAACGAGCCCGTGGACTACACCGCATTTGACGCCGCGGCGCTTCGCTTCCACGACTCGCCCAGTTCGCCGAGCGCCATAGTCACGCTTGGCCAGAGCAACGCTGTCGTAGTGACCAGCTCTGCCGACGCACGTGTCGTTGACACTGTCTTGGGTCTGCGCGACCTGAACCTGCTGCGCGTGAATGACGTTGCGCTGGTGCAGAGCACCGCCTTCCTTGCCCCGCTCGCAGGGCTGGTTACTGACCAAGAGGGCTTGCCGACGCCGGCCGTTGCACCGGCCGCTGGGCTTGTGCCGTCCACGTACGCGCCAGATGTGAGCGGCCCTGTCCTGCAGGCGTTTGCGCTGAACTTGACCAGCGCTGCGCTCCAGCTCACCTTCGACGAGCCTGTGAGGGCTGCGTGGACCAACGTGTCACAGATCACCTTGCACAACGGGCGTGGACAGCGACATACGCTTGGCGCACAGAGCTTTGCGTCGCAGGCAGCGGACGCCGACGCCGAGCTGCGATCGCAGATGGTGGTCGCGCTGTCACTGCAGGACTTGACGGCGCTCCAGCTCGACCTGAACCTGGCCGAAGACGCGGCGTCGGCCCGCATCGAGCTGCTGGCGGGAACGCTGGTCGATCACTCCGGTAACGGCAACGTCCCCATCGCCAACCAGAGTGCAGCCACGTTTGTCCCAGACACGGTCCGCCCGCAGCTCGCCTCCTCCATCCTGGACCTCTCGAACCACACGCTGGCGTTGACATTTAACGAGCCTGTCCTTGCAGACGGTTTCAACGTCACCAGCGTGTCGTTTGTGCAGTTCAACACGAGTGGCGGGGAAGTGCGCGTGTTCCTCAGTGAGCTTAGCACCGTGAGCGTGCCTGCCTCGATGAGCGGCCCCACCACCACGCTCAGTGTGGTTGTGGCACTGCACATTGACGATGTGAATGCCATCAAAGCCGTGTTCGACTTCTCGCCTTACATTCTTGGAGAAGGCTCAAACGCAGTTGCGAACATGACGTGGGTGTCGCTCGTCTCAAACACACTGGCGGACGCCGCGAACAACGTCCTGGTCCGCGTGGAGACGCCGCTCAGCGCCTACGTACCTGACGTGCGGCCGCCGCAGTTGCTGGAGGCCTGGCTAGACCTGAACAGCACAGGCTCCCTCACACTCGTCTACGAAGAGGTCGTCATGCCAAAGCTGGTCCGCCTGCAAGACCTGTCACTTGTGGCACCGGCGGCCTTTGTGGCAGCTGCCAATGCTTCGAGTAGCAACGAGCTTGCCGCCGTCCGCCTGAATAGCCTGGTTCAGGTTGGCAGTGAGCGGCGATCGCGATACATCCGGGCCGCGTTCGACACCGACACGCTCAATGCGATCAAGCTGCGCTCCTTCTGCAAGACCGGCGTGGACGACTGCGCGCTCGCGCTCTCCGCTGGCGCTGTCGTGGACGTGCATCGCAACCCTTCCTCAGAGACAAACGAGTTTGCCGTCACAGACTTTGCCCCGGACGTGACCCGCCCGACCCTGGTGGCCTTTGACCTCGACCTTGCCAACGATCAGATCACATTCACCTTTAGTGAAGCCGTTCGCGCAGGATCGCTCGCGCCAGCCGCTGCGACCGTTCAGGCCGTCGACGACATGTCGGAGCCGCTGGAGCTCACGTTTGCGGTCTCCCTTGGCGGCGGCGTGTTTTCTGACACGGTGTTGAAGTTTGAAGTGATGGACGACACCGCATTCCAGGTGCCTGTGAACCCCCGCATTGTTCAGTGGCGCGGGGACGACACGGTGCACATCTCGCTCACGGTCGTCGCTGGCGGCGCGTCTTTCAACGTGTCTCAGGGACACCTGTTCCAGAACGGCGCGCCAAGCTTCGGAAACGCGGCTGTGACGCAGTTGCGGAGCGGTACCGGGTTCCCCCGCTACGATGTGCAGCTCGAGGGCATCCAGCACGGCGTCGTTTCTGCCGACAACACGGGCCAAACCGCCTCGCAGCAGTCTGCCAGCGGCACGCGGTCCACTGACGCGTTCCTGACGGCGACTCAGTCGTCTGTCCCACACAACGGGCGCACGGGGCCAAACTCGCGCGAAAGCGTGACCTTTGCTTCGTTTTGGACCAGCGGCGATGCGTACGGCCCGTACGCTGAGGATGACGTGTGGGGCCTGGCACCCGAGCTCGTTGGCTCTGTTGTGTGGAGCTCCCGCGTTGCCTCCGGCAATGGCGTTGTGCTCACGCTGAACCTGAGCCGGGCAGACATGGACCACCTCAAGCGCAACGTCAACCTCGCAATCGATCCCGCATCCACCTTTGTCTCACACACGTCATCGCTGGTGTTGGACATGTTTGGCAATGCCGTGCTGCCCCTGGAAGCAGCTTCGGGGCTTCAGGCGCAGTCCTTTGCCGCAGACAGCACGCCACCGCAACTGGTTGGCTTTGCGCTGGACATGGACGCCGAGCGCGTGTACTTGTACGTGGACGAGCTGGCGAATGTGACGACGGTGGATGCCAGTCAGGTTTCGTTTGTGCTGCCGGCACTGGCGGGCAGCAGCAACGCAACGACGAAGCGCGTTCAGCTTTCCGGGGCACGGTCCATTCAGCACGACGCGCTTCGCGTTGCCGTGCACCTGCTCGAAGACGATGTCAACCGCATCAAGGCGGCCTTCCCGCTGGCCTCATCCCTCAACCTCACCGCCATGGCGCTCACCTCTGCACTGCTGGATGACATGGCTGGCAACGCCGTCGTTGGCGTTGGAGAGGCGGTGCCGATCACCGCCTCCACGTACGTGCCAGACCAGACGCCACCGCGCGTGCTGTCATTCCACGTGGACCTTGTGGCGCAAACGATCACGCTCGATTTCTCGGAGACGGTCGCAGCGCAGACGCTTGACCCGAGCCGCGTTGCCCTGCTTTCAGCCAACACGACGTCTGACGGCGGAGCCATGGCACAGGTCGTTGCGTTGGGTTCGCCAAATGTCACGTGGGACAGCGCGCTCCTCGCAACGTCGCTCACGCTGCAATTCTCTGAGTCTGTGCTGAACGCGATCCAGCTCAGCGATGCCGTGGCACGTGACAGCGACAGCACCTGGTTGCGCATCACGCCAGGGTTCATTGCGGACACCGCGGGCAACGCGCTTGTGCAGGCCGGCACACTGCAGGTCTCCAACCTGACCGTGGACGCCGTGCCGCCCGCCCTCGTTGGCTTTAACCTCAACATGACACAAACCATGCTCACGCTCACGTTCTCCGAGCCGATGCGAAGCACCTCCATGAACCTGTCTCAGCTGGCCCTGGTCGGCAGCAGCGCTGCAGAGCGCGTGTTCACGTTGGACAGCACCGCAGCAGATGCCACCGCCGCTACCGCCTTCTTCTTCCACGGCACACAGCAACGCAACGGGCACGTGGTGACGGTCCAACTCACCGTCGACGATGCAAACGAGCTCAAGAACATCACCAGCATTGCCACGGCGCAAGGCACCAGTCTGATTGTGGTGGCACCAGGGCTCCTCGAGGACATGTTTGGTAACCAGGTGCAAGCGGTTTCTGCAAGCGACGCGTTTGCGGCAGACACGTTTGTGCCAGACGTGGTTGGCCCTGTCCTGGTCAGCTACAGCGTAGACATGTCCACAACGACCGTGGCATTCACATTTGACGAGACGGTCAATGCATCCTCCCTGATGTCCGTTGAGGCCGGCTTCGCCGCTCCCATTGCCTGGGCCATTACTCGCACAGCCTACAAGCTTGGCGTGAGCCCATCTGAGCTGGCGCCGGTGCTGGAGGCCTGGGCCACGCGCATGATCTCCAGCCAGCCCGCGCAGGCGCCCGGTCGCGCGTCGTTTGCTGGACTGGTGGACTTTGGCGAGACGCTGGTCGTCCACCTTCACCCCGCTGTTCGACTCACGCCAAGCGGCACGCTGCAGGCGTTTGTCCTTTCCGATGACGTGCGTGACGTTCTCGCCATTCTTGGCGCCGCTGATACGCAGACAAACACAACGCTCGCCATCTCCAGCGCGTTCATTGCCGACATGAACCGTAATGTGCTGCAGAACACTGCCGCCGGCACGGCGGCGTTTGGCCAACCATCCGCTTTCACTGCAGACACCGTGTCGCCCACGGTCCTGTCCTTTGACCTCGACCTGTCCACGGGAACGCTGGAGGTGACATTTGACGAGGCTGTCAATATTGCGTCGCTGCAACGCCATGCATTCACGCTGGTGGGCGCTGGCACTGGCGAGCAACTCCCCCTCTCGCCACTCTCTGCCACCGTGCTGCAGGCCGACACGCTCGCCCTGCTGGCAAGCAACACTACTGCGTGCACGGACACGAATCTTGAGGACAGCGTGTTTGTGGTGAACGGCACATTGGGGTTGAGCAGCCGGGCCGATGCTGCCATCATTGCCTCGCTGCAGGACCCACAGCATCTGCTGCAGTACATGTATGACCACGTTCTGTTTCCCACCAATGGTACACAGGCATCCTGCAACGTTGTTATGCTGGACACGCTGTTCCGTCAGTTCCGCATTGTCCTCGCCCGTGATGATATGCTCCGCCTGAAGCACAACCAAGAGCTCCTGGATGGCATGTCCGCCTCCAAGCTCGTGCTGACCAAGGAAGCCATCCAAGACTTTGCCGGAAATGTGCTGGCCCTCAACGCGTCTGATCCGGCAGCCACAACCGTCGCTGTGCCACTGCAGGGCTTCCGCGGGGACGCTGTTGCGCCACGGGTCCTGCTCGCGCACGTCAACTTGACCAGCAATGTGCTGCAAGTGTGGTTTGATGAGCCCATGAATGTCACCAGCCTGCGCTTGTCGCATATGGCAATTGTGGACGCCACCAACGCCAGCCGCGTCGTGGATGTGATTGAGGCCGCGTCCCCAGCCACTGCCAGCTTCATGGATACGCTGGTTGAGGTAGCCGTGGACGCGGACACGGCCGCTCGCCTGAAAGCGCCGTGGTGTGTTGCCGCGCTGCGTGCGGGCCGCGCCCAGCTCGTGCTGGCAGATGGCGCAGTCATGGATCGCAGCGGAAACGCCGTGCAGGCATCGGGCATTTACGCGCTCTTCTCCGAGGACGTTGTTGGGCCATCCCTGGTCTCCTTTGACTTGAACATGACCAGCGGCGAGCTGGAGCTGCAGTTTGACGAGCCCGTGCTTGCTGACACCTTGGACCTCAACGCTATTGTCCTGCAAGGTTCGCAGAATGAGGCACAAGCGGCCACACCGCAGCACGGCAGCGACATTGCCTTCCGGCTCACCACCGCAGTGAGCGGGACGAACGCCGCCTCCGCTGCGGTGCTGACGGGTGACCTGCTTCGCCACGTCTCCGTGCAGCTCTCCACACCTGACATGCACGCCATCAAGCTTGCCCAGGACTTGGCAACGGCGACCAATACGACATTCCTCTCCCATGCCGCACAGCTTGTCCGCGATACGTCGGCCAACCCCGCACAGCCAGTCAGCAACGCGTTCGCCATGCAGGTGACACGGTACGCGTTTGATGTCGTTGCCCCGGCACCGCAGCCTGCAGCGCTCAACATGAGCTTCACGGAAACAACGGCCTTGCTGACCCTTCGCTTCGACGAGCCCGTGCGCATCTCCACGGCCAACACCACCCTGCTGTGGCTCGTGCGGCAGTCTGACCACCCCACAGACATGGCGTCCCTGCAGCAGGCAGCGCTGTCTCCGTCTCCAGGGAACGCCACAGCCCACCAGCTCAAGGCCTCCGTCGTGCTTGTGCAGGACAACGGCTTGGAACTGCTTGTGGAGATTGTCAAGGAGGACTTGGATGCCATCAAGCTGGCACAGACACTTGCCGTCGACGCTGCAACCGCGCATCTGCTGCTGCTCTCTGGCGCAGTCCGCGACATGGCCGGCAATTCGGTGGCCACCGAGGTTGTGGCCGCTTCAGCCCCATTTGTGCCCGACACCATTGCACCAACGCTGCTGCGCTTTGACTTTGACTGGCAGAGCGCCGAGCTGGCGCTGTTCTTCAGCGAGCCCTGTGCAGCGCTGTCCCTCAACACGTCTGCGCTGCGTCTCACGGACGGCAGCAGCAACCTCACGCTGGTGCTGAGTGCCGCGCCGAGCGCCGCCGTCAACGTCACGACAGGAAACGGCAACACACAGCGCATTGTGCTCAGTACGTCTGCCGTCAACGCGCTCAAGGCATGGCACCCGCGCTTCGGATCGCAGGCCGCAGACACGCAGCTGTTTGCCCCCTCCCTTTTGGCAGTGGACATGGCCGGTAATGCCGTGCGTGCTGTGGACTCTGCGGCAGCGCTGCAAGTGACAGACCTGATCCTGGACACGAGCCCCCCAGAGTTGCTGAGCTTTGACATTGTCGTGCGCACGTCTGCACTCGCGCTTCCCCCGCACGAGGGCCAGCGCGTGCCGCTGGGGCACCGTGTTGTGCGTCTGGGGTTTGACGAACCCGTCGACGCCACGACGCTCACCTTCACACAGCTGACCCTGAGCAGCCCTGGACCCTGCTCAGCGTCCTGCACGTACACGTTGACCGGCGGCCAGCTGCTAGAGACGAGCGAGCAAGAGTTGTGGGCAAGTGCGGCCCCCACGTCCCCGACCCAGCCCTGGTGGCCACGGGGTCGCGCGCAGCAGGTGGTGTCGTTTGCGCTCCTGGACCAGGACGCAGACGCCATCGAGGAGGCCGGCCTGTTCGAGTTTGGTTTGGACCACGTCAACATCACGCTTGGGTCGTCGCCAACATCCTCCACGGGGGCGATTCGCGATGTGTTTGGTAACACCAACGGCGTGCAGACAGTCGCCGTGACTACGGCGCAATCGGAAACGGCACCGCCCGTGCTTCGCGCGTTTATGGTGGACATGGACCAGTTGGCGCTCACCTTCAACTTTGATGAGCCCGTGAACGCGACAACGGCCAACGTAACCTCACTTGTGCTTGTCAACGGCAACGGCACGTCATCGCTGGCGCCGCACTCGCAGGTACAGTCTGTGCGCCTGACGACGACCTCCCGGATCGATCCCACCATCGGCAAGCAGGTCGTCGTGCGCCTCTCCTTGTTTGATGCCAACGCAATCAAGGCACACACGGGCTTGTACACATCACGAGCCACGTCGTACATTCTCATGGAGGCAGGCTTCATCCTGGACCGCTCTGCAGCGCCCAACCCAAGCGCGGCGGTGGAGCCAGCAATGCAGGCGGCAGTCTTCTTAGAAGACGCAACCTTGCCGCAGGTTCGGTTCTGGACATTCCACAACGGCAACGGCACGCTGCAGGTGCATTTCAAGGAGGTTGTGAATGAGACATCCTTCGACCCAACCCAGCTCACGCTGCAGCGCGTGGCTGACGCAAGTGTCACCGCCTCCAGCAACAACAACAGCAGCAGCAGCAGCAGCATTGAGGCGTACACGCTCACTGCAGGGTCGAACGTGGTGGTGACAAGTGACGCGCTCGGCGCTGCAGTTCAAAACATCACCATTGTTCTCTCGGAGCAGGACCACGAGGCACTGCAAGTTCGCCGCATCGTCACAGGCCGAGCCACAGCGTGGTTGGTGCACGGGGTTGCGCTTGTGCAAGACATGAATGGCAACTCGCCACAGCCCCGCGTCAACGGCCTGAACGCGCTGCAGGCGGCCCGCGTGGTCGCCGACCGCGTGCCGCCCTACCTCGAGCACTACACGCTCGACCTTGGCGCTGGCCGCTTGTACCTCAAGTTCTCCGAGGCCATGTTGCTGCCTTCCCTTGACCCGTCGCTCATCACGCTCTACGCCGGGCCTGTCCCTGATGCGGTGGCGGCCTCCGAGGCGGCGTGGGCAGCGGCTGCGTGGCAGTGGATCCACCCGTCCACGTACGCGCACCTGTACGGCGAAAACCCGGAGGTGCCGCTTGTTGAGGATCTTCCCTTCCCGCCACACCTGTTTGAACTTGGGTTCCCTGCCGCTGGTTCCCTGAGCAACGCCACCAACGCCCTCTTCTCCGTCTGGGATGACCTGTTCTACTTCGGCAGCACTGCCCAGCCGCAGCTCAACACAAACTGTACGCTCGCCTGCTCCCTCAGCGGAGGAGACAGCGCGGCGTGTAGGGATGGCTGCACAAGCGTGGCAGAGCCCGTGCAGGTGTGCTGGGCAAACTGTGCTTCAGCATATCCTTCCCCACTGCTCGACGCCTGCGTGCGCGGCTGCACGCTGCGGGCCGTCAGTTTCCACAAGGGCGTTGCCGCCGTGTCTGGCCGCACGTGGCAGGAGTACACGCTGGGCCAAGCAGATGCAGCCACGAGGGTCGAGACCACCACGGATGGCTCGGAGATGAGCATCGCGCTTGGAACCGCAGACATTCGGGCGGTGCAGCTGCGCGAAGCGCTGGCCCGCTCCACCAACTCCACCCTCATGTTTTACGTCTCCCCAAGCATGGTGCCGTTCTCCGCCGCCGGTCTGTCCAACGCCACCAGTCAGCCCATCACCGACACGCAGAGCAACGAGCTGTTGCCCATCTTTGGACACGTGGCATCCAACATCACCCTCGATTCCACACCGCCTCGCCTCCTCTCCTTTGATCTGGACCTTACGCAGCGAGTGCTGTACCTCACATTTGACGAGGTGATGGCCCGCGCAGCTAGCCCGCAGCACGTCGCACTCCTCAGCAGCGCCAACGCGTCTGCCTCTGCCTCTGCCTCCACGGGCACGACCACGGCAGTCCTGCAGCTGAGCTCGGACACGCTGGCCCAACGGTCATCTGATGGGCTTGTCTTTGTCTTGTACCTCACGCAGTCGGATTTCAACGCCATCGTGCAAGACCCGAGCTTCTGCGTTTCGCGCGAGACGACTTTCGTGTCGTTGTCCTCGAGTGCGTTCAGCGATGTGACGGGCAACCCTGTGCATGCGATTGAAGCGCCTATGCTCGCCTTGCAGGTGTCCCAGTTCACAGCGGACATGCATCGCCCCATCTTGCTAGAGGCCGCAGCCAACATGTCCAGCGGCGTGATCACGGTTCGGTTTTATGAGGTGGTTAACGCGTCCACGCTTGCCGGCAGCGCCCTTCGCTTGCACAACGACGGTAACAGCAGCAGCGCCGCTGGTGCGGTTGTCGAGCTTCCGTTGCTCACGAGCGAATCGCTGCTCAGCTACGAAGACAGCGACACTCTGGAGATTGCTCTGTCATGGGACGACCTCAACACGATCAAGGCCCAGCCGCTGCTCCTGACACAACAGGACAACAGCTTCTTGTCCTGGACCAGTGCGTTCGTCCAAGACATGAACGGCAACGCCGTCGTGCCAAGCCAGGATGCCGGTGGTCCGTTGAGGGTGGCGTCGTTTGTCCCAGACACAGTCAGCCCACAGCTGCTGCGGTTTGAGCTGGACATGTCCGCGCTGCGTCTCACGCTGTGGTTTGACGAGACGGTGAACCTCACCTCTGTGCAACCCGGCGAGGCATGCATCCAACCCGTGCGCGTCAACTTTGGGCAGGCGCCCTGCGTCTCCCTGGGGCTGACTGGCCCCGCGAGCCTGAACGGATCCGCTGCCGCCTTCACCCGCGTTCTCGACCTCAGCGCCACGGACCAGGCTGGCTTTGGCGTGTACCGGCCGGCCTTCACACTGGCGCTCGGGCGGGAGGTCGCCAACCAGCTCCGTGTTCTCGAGGGCACGGCCGTCTCCCTCAACACCACGCGCCTCGTGATGAACGACGCCTTTGTCAGCGACACCGCCGCAAACCTGTGTGAGCCAATCACCCGCTCTGCGGCGCGCCTTGCCGACAACTTCACCGAGGACACGGTGCTGCCCCAGCTCGAGTGGTTCGATGTTGACATGGACGCTGCGCGGGTGCGCCTCTACTTTGACGAGACGGTCCGCGCCAACACGCTCAACGTGTCCCGCGTGCATCTGTTTGTACCGACACCGCCGGAGTCAAGCAACACGGCAGCTCCCGCGCTCACCACTCTGGCGGGCTCAACCTGGGACAAGGACACAAACTCGCCCATGCTCACCCTCACCCTCCCCCACGAGGTGATGAATGAGCTGAAGCGGAAGCAGATTTGCCGAGGCGCGTCGCGCTGCTTTGTCAGCCTTGACGCCGAGGCTGCGCGCGACATGCGGGGCAACCCATCCGTGGGCCTTGATCGTCCGGCCGCATTCCGTGCCTTGGACGTGCTCCCTGACGTCACGTCTCCAAAGATGGAGCGCTTCGACCTGGACATGAACGCGCTCACGCTCACCATGTACTTCTCTGAGACGGTGGACGCCTCCAGCCTGCGTGCGGACCAGGTCCGCTTGCAAGACTTCTTCCGCGGCAGCAACTGGTACAACCTGACTCAGGGCAGCGCGCTGCTGGACATTGCACCCCGGAACGACTCTGACGTCCTTGTGCTGCATCTGTCTCGTGCAGACGCAAACGCCCTCAAGGAAAACGCGTGGGTTGCGACGTCACAGGCCGACACGTGGCTGGTGCACTCCGAGCTGGCCTTTGCCGACCTTGCCGCGGAACCAAACTCTGCCGTCCCCATCCGTAACAACGTGGACATCTTCTCCTCGCTCTCTGTGCACACGTACACGCCTGACACGACGCCAGCCCGCCTCCTGTCGTACGCGCTGGACATGGACCAGCTGCTGCTGGCCTTGACGTTTGATGAGGCTGTGCAGATTGAGACGGTGAAGCCAGAGCTCGTGTCACTGGCTGGGCAGCACACAGGCAACAGCACAACTGCCAGCGTTGCGCTGAGCAGCAGCGAAACTCTGCTGCAAGGCAGGCCACTGCTCACGCCCGAGGTGAACATCAGCATCAGCTTTGCCGATGCCGTGCAGCTGCAGGCGCTGGATGACGTGGCAACCTCTGCTCTTACCACGACCATCGCCATGACCGCAGGCGTGGCGCGCGATACGGGCAACCTCGGCATTGTGCCCGTTGCCCACACGGACAACATTCAGCCAGCCGCCTTTGTGGCCGACGCACATGCACCAGTCCTGTTGCAGGCGGAGCTGGACGTGGACGGGGGCGTGCTGCTGCTCACCTTTGATGAAGTCGTGCGCAAGCGCGACCTGGACATGGTTCGTCTGGGCGTCGCCGGTAACAATGGCGCCGCAGTCAATCTGACGAGCAGCAGCGTCGCCGCAGCAGCAGCAGCAAACAGCACCGCTGGTGTTGTTGACGCTTCGTACCTGGCGGAGGCCGTACTGAGCGTTACAACGGCCGGTCGGTTGGTGACGAACACGTCTTTCACCGCCCACCCTGCTCTGCCGAGTGACTACATTGTGGTGATTCGCCTTGGCGCACACGATCTCAACCGCATCAAGGCGCTGGATGACCTGTGCACCTCCAGTGAAAACTGTAACGTCGCCATGTACCCGGGCTTCGTTGCGGACATGGCGGAAAACGATGCCGGCGTGCAAGGGCCCTTGGCTGTTGCCAAGTACAGGCCGGACGGAACCACGCCGAGTCTGCTTCGATCCAGCCTCGACATGGAGACGCGCACGCTTGTGCTGACATTCTCAGAGGCCGTGCGCCTGTCCGCGGTGGACAGCACCAGGGTGCGACTCTTCAACGGGCTGCCAACCGTGCATCCATTCCACGTCTCCCTGGCACTGAGCAACGCTACCGTGGTCACGGTGGACACGTCCGCGTTCCTGACCTCCGCTGCTGCTTTCGGGAGCGACTCCCTATCAGTGGCAGCAGCGGCAGCCGCACACACGGCCGGCACGGCCATCGCATTCCACCTGACATATGAAGACATCGTGACGCTGCAGCGCGTGCCAGAGCTGGCCGCAACACAACGCCCCTCGTACGTGTCACTGGAGCAGGGTGTAGCGCAGGACATGCGGCAGAACCCAAGCAATGCTGTGCGGGACTTTGAGCAGTTCCCCGTCCAGCTCGTGGTTGCCGATGAACAAGGCCCACAGGTCCTTGAATTCACGCTGGACATGGACGCGGCTCTCCTGACCATCACCTTTGATGAGGTTGTGAACGTGAGCAGCATCAACCGGTCGGCGATTGTGCTTGCCGCTGGCGACAACAGCGGCAGCGCTGCGTCGCTGCAGCTTGGCTTGGATCTCGAGGACGTTGCCGTGAAGTCGGCACGTCTTGGGCTGCAGTCACCACCAGATACGCTGGTGCTGCCGCGCCTGAGCTTCGGGGGAGATGAGCTGCCGACGGGGGATGACGACGTCGTCACCGTGCAGCTGAGCGCGCTTGAGACAACCATGTTGCAGGCAAGTGCCATGTTTGCCGACTCGCTGTCCACGACATGGATGCGCGTGCTGCCGATGCTTGCGGCCGACATGGAAAGCAATGCCCTGTCTGCCACAAGGACGCTGCGCGCGAGCGCCTTTGCTTCGGACGTCACACCGCCGAACCTCGTCGGCCTTGAGCTGGACATGGTGACCACCGTGCTCACACTGACGTTTGATGAACCCGTGAACGCGTCCTCGCTCTCCGTCGGCGCCGGCACTCTGTGGTCGAGAGCGGCCGAGAACGCGGGCGGCGAGATAGACGCAGTGGGAACGGCCGTGACCCTTGACGGCGCCGTGCTGAGCACCTTCAACCTCTCACGCGTGCTCACTGTCGCCGTTGGGGAGCAAGCGCTGGTCGCACTTCGCCGCACAGAGCACCTGGCCACAGCCGAGGCCACATCGCAGCTCAACATCACCCAGCAGTTCATCCGCGACAACGCCATGCCCGGGAACAAGGTCGTGGCTGCCTCGCTGCAGGCAGCGGCCTTCCGCAACTACCGGGCACCCCAGGTGGCGGAAGTCGCGCCAAGACAGGGAGCGTTGCAGGGCGGTGCGCGCGTGATTATTCGCGGCCAGGACTTTGCGCAGCTCGACCTCCGACGCCTGTCGCCGTACCACCCGTCGGCGCAGCTGCCCATCAGCGTGCGCTTCGAGGCGCGCAACTTCGCGGCCGGCATGTGGGCCGCGTACGCGCACGACGTCCTGGTGCTCAACGACACTGCACTACAAGCCACCGTCCCGGTTGCGGATGCTGCTGTTCTGAACAGCACTGTGCCTGTCCTGGTGGACGTGCGCGTCATCGCGGACAACGGCAGCGTGAGCGGTGTTCTGGCGTCCGGCTTCGAGTACCTGCCGGCGCCGGTCATCACGCGAGTTCGCCCCCTCGCTGTCACCGAGCAAGGCGGCACGAGCCTGACCATTGAGGGCCACAACTTTGGCCTGCCAACCTTCTTGCCGCTGTCTGATGCGGCACTGCTTCCCGTGGACCCCTTCCCGCCATCCCTGGATGCCGGCTTGCCCGCATACGGCGACGCGGCGCAGGAGACGGCCAACTGGCTTGCACCGCCACTGGCAGTGTACGTTGGGAAAGATGAGTGCCTGCACCCGCGAGTCGTTGCCTTGCACAACGCCGATACCAACAACACCAGCAACAACGCCAGCAGTGACGGCATCGTCGCAAATGCAACTGCCAGCGTGGTGGTGTGCACGATGCCGAATGTGACAGGCATCGCTGGCAGCGAACCCCAAGTGACGGTGGTGGTGGATGGCGCAAGTGGCATGTCGAGCGAACGAGTCCGCGTGTTGGGCACTCCGGTTGTCAGCGGCGTTTCGCCCAACGCCACCTTTAGCGAGGAGGCTGAGCGGGTGACCATCTTTGGCCGGTGGTTCGGCCCGAGCACCGTGAGCGGCGAGGGTCCCGATGTCGAGGCGTTTGTGGCTGGGCGGCCCTGTGGCAACGTAGTGGTGCTCAACGACACGGCGCTTGAGTGCGATGCGGCGCCCTACCTTGGCCCAGCCAACATCACCGTCATTGCGGACGGCGTGCAGAGCGAGCCAAGCGACACCCGGCTGCTGTATTTGGCCAGCGCCGGGGTGTTCAGCTTCAGCGCGCGCACGTACTACGTGTCGGAGGACAGCGTGGAGATTGCGATTGAGCTTGTACGCAACATGAGCAACACCTCCTACGTGTACGCCAGCCCAACGGAGGTGACTGTGGCCGTGCGCAACGGTACGGCAACCAGCCCCGCCTACTTCCTTGCGGATGAGCGCGTTGTGAGCTTTGGCGTGGCGCAGATGTCGCGCACGTTCAAGGTGGCCATCACGGCGGGATCGCGGACTCAGATTGGGCCGCGCAAGGGCTACCACGACGATGCGACCGTTGAGCTGGCAATCACGGCCGTCGTGGCGCAGGAAGGCATTGCAGCCATTGGCACCGGGCGATCGCAGGTTGTCATTCAAGCGCGATGCGAGGCGCTTGTCTCGGGCTGCACCGCGGTGATGTCGCTGGATGGCTCGCTCAGTTACACGCGTGACCCTGCTGTCACCATTAGCCCGTGATGGTGATGCTTGCGATGGCGATGATGGTGCATAAATATGGTGGAGATGGTGGAGATAAACGAGGGTGGTTGTGGCGGACACGATTCTAGGCCGTGTGTGTTGTGAGTGAGTAATTGTATTGTTGACCGGGTGTTCTTGTGTGAGGCATTCTTCCTTGCACCACCTATCCCTGTTGGTCTGTGGTGGTGGTGGTGGTGGTGGTGGTGGTGGTGGTCATGACAACCATTGCCTTGTGGTGATGGTAATCTTGCTTGTGTGTGTGTGTGTGTGTGTGTGTGTGTGTGTGTGTGTGTGTGTGTGTGTGTGTGTGTGTGTGTAGTACGTATATAGTGTGTGTGTGTTGTTCACTCGTGGCTGAAATTTTAAGATCACATAAAACAGTTACCTACTAATTATAGATTAAATAAACCATATTGATGCGGGCGGCGACCACGACGACTCCGCAGTCCCGTAACGGGATTCTATTCGTGCATACAGCCTGTGGATAGCACAGACCTGTGCCGACAATCCGTCAGCAGTCTCGCCTGCCGTGTGTAGTTTCCGGCATCTGTGTCTCACGCTCAGTTGCGCATGTCATACGTAAGCTTCCCTATTTGGCAATAACTCCTGTCCTGTCCTGGACTTAGGGTGTGGTAGACCGTGTGTGTGTAGTGTGTCGTGTGTGTGTGTGTGTGTGTGTGTGTGTGTGTGTGTGTGTGTGTGTGTGTGTGTGTGTGTGTGTGTGTGTGGTTAACCATATGATTGGGTGCTTGGTGCCGGTTGTTGTGAGAGTGGAGAGGGAGAGAGTGGGGGTCGATTGAGCCTTTTATTTGTTCTTGACTTTGGATGGCATGCCAAATGAGGCGGCATGCCGTCGACGACAGGGTTGACCGAGCATGCATGTGTGTACGCGTGCATGCGACTTGACTGTGTGATATGGGTGCGTGACTGTGCTTCCACCAGCAGTAAAACATGAAATGAGCACTGTTGCTGTGGAAAACGAGAGAGGTAGAGAGAGCGTGGGAGGGGGAGACAGAAAGGTAAAGTGGGTGGAAGGGGAAAGACACACACACACACACACACACACACACACACACACACACACACGACGCATGGTGCGTGCACTGGACGTAAAGCGTGGTGCAAAATACAGCAGCAAAAGAATAACTCATCAAGAGTGAATGGAAGAGTGTGTGATGTGTCACAGTTACTTTGAAGCTACGCCTCCTCTGTTGCCACAGGTCCTTCGCCGCCGGGCACAAGCTGTTGTGATGTGAGGTGGTGTGATGTGTGTAATCACAAGGTGGACAAAAGGAAGGAGAAAAAAAGCGTCAGGCATATTGTCACAACATGCATCAAACGAACAACCGAACAAGCTCACACACACACACACACACACACACACACACACACACACACACACACACACACACATAAACACACACACACACGCACGCACGCACGCACGCACGCACATGCACACACACATGCACACACACAAACACACACACATGCACACACACAAACACACACACAGACGCACACACACACAAACACACACACACAGATGCACATACACAGATGCACACACATGCAGGGAAAGGGACCAACACCAATTTCCCCTCCCCCCTCCCCTCCTGCCGTCTCCGCAACCTCCAAATCCCAAACATGTACACACGTACCATGGCAATGTGTGTGCCGCTCAACAGGATCTCCTTTCGCTTCGATGTCACAATGCCCTCGGGTCCATTCTCGCTGTGTGTGATGCGAGCATGCATGTGCGAAGCGAAGGAAAACAACCAAGTGTGAGCGGGCGACCGATGCTAAACAGGCATACAAGGACAAACACACATGGGCACGCACGCAAGCATACACGCACGTACGTAAGCATACACGCACGTACGTAAGCATACACCCATTCACAAGCACGCACGCACAAGCACGCACGCACGCACACACACACATTCACACACACACATTCACACACACATTCACACACACATTCACACACACATTCACACACACACACACACAAAACTTACAATTCAGTCACGTCTGTCAACACCATGTTCACAAACTCGTCGAATCCTTTGAGCCAGCCAACAAGCTCTTTGTCAGACTTCATGACAACGTGGATCCTGGAGCCAATGCACTTGTCAATCAGCTCAAGCGGCAACACTTGCGACATGATGGCAGCGGCTACTGTGTCGTGTTGTGCAGTGTTCAGGCGGTGTTTGTGGCAGTTGCGGTCGACGGGTTGCCTCTTGTTCCGGGTTGCCGCAGCGAGTTCTGAAAATACGCGGATATCTTGCTAAAATAATCGACTCAACGAGAATTTGCGAATGATTCCACGCCATCTTTCAGCAAATTCAGCGTGCTGTTTCCACCCACGCCAATCGACAGAGCACAGGGCAGCCAACTCGTGCCTTTTTCCCTCTGTCGCTTACGAAGCTCACCCGCAAGGCCTTCCTTCCACCCCTCCGAGCACACACACACACACACACAACCTCCATCATGGTGCGTCTTTGTCCATCCCGCTTTTGCTTGGCTTGCTTCGTGGCCGTGTTGGTGGTGGTGGTATAGGAGAAGGGCCGTGCGCTGCGCACAGCAGCAGCAATGGAGTGCTGCTGTTCCTGCATCTCGTGGCGACAAAGCCACACGACATGACGTCGTCACGGCGACAGAACAAGTGGCACGGCGCACGGATTGATGCACGAAGCGGCAGCAGCTCCCCAGCACCACCACCAGCAACAAGAGCAGCTGCATTGGCAGCGACGAACACCTGTGGGCTGGTTGGAGGGCCAGCGCTGATTCGATCGAGACATATGGGCGACAACACAACACAACAGCACCAGCCAGCGCAGCGCCTCTCACGATGATGACGGATGCGAGAGATGCAAGCACTTTATCATGATGATGCTGGTCGTGATGATGACCATAAGGGCTTAGGCGACACTTTCGCCGCGGTGGCTGCTGAGCGTGCTCAAGCTTAAACCTGAACACGCCCACCACAAACGTTATTTGCTGTACGTCTTCTTCTCTCAGACACATCCCACTCACACACGCTCACTCACTCCTGGTTCTCTCCTTGTTTCTTGTGCTGCCTGCTGTGCATCTCGACCTGGCACTTACGCCGCCATTGTCCACCCGCCATCAACACCACGATTCTTTGTTACCCTTGATAAGGCTGGCAAGGTACGCATGCTCGCCTGTTGGATGTCACGTGTGAGCGATGCACCGCATTCGTGTTTCTGTTGCAATATGTTTGCTGTTTGTTGTGTGGGAGGGAGGTACAAACGAGCCACACCGGCGCTGTGTTGTTTGTTGGTTGGTTTTGGCCCGACGTGCACCTGTGCCGTTGCGTCAATTTTGCTCGTGCTTGTGTTTTCTGTACGGAATACCCACCCAGTCACACGCTCACCCTATATTCCCACACCGCGCGCACGCTTCTTGCCTTGTTTGTTGCCTTTTTTTTTTGTACATACTTTTGCCCACTTGCCACCATGTCCTTCCATGGTTGGGCTGCTGCTGCTGCTTCCGCCTTCCATCTGTTTTCCTTTGTGTACACGTTCTCCTCTCCTCCTCCTCCCCCCTCAAACATTTCATGAGTGCAGAAGTGGTCCAAGGGCAAGACCCGCGACAAGCTCAACAACGCGTGCCTCTTCAAGAAGGACGTGTACCAGAAGCTCCTCAAGGAGGTCCCCTCGTACAAGCTCATCACCCCCTCCATTGTGTCCGACCGCATGAAGATCAAGGCGTCCCTTGCCAACAAGGCGCTCAAGGAGCTCCTTGCCAAGGGTCAGATCCGCGAGGTTGTCCAGCACAACGGCCAGCGCATCTACACCCGCGTTGTTAGCGAGTAAATGAGCACCAAACCCCCCTCCAACCAGCACTTGTGAATCGAGCGTTCATCCACCCGACCCAGACCTTTGTGATGCGAGAAGACACACACACACACACACGCATGCGCAACACGGTGTGCTGCCGTGTCGTCTTCTGTTTGTGTGTTGTGTATTGTGGTATTTGGCTTGTCTTTGTCGCTTTGCATCATCACCACAACTTGCAAACCTGCTGTTCATGTGCTGGTTGTGACTGTGACATGAATGTGTGACGGTGAGTTGGATGACGATGATGACGATGTGCACAACCTCAGACTTCGCTGCTCTTCTCGAAGTAAACATGGGTGCACAGATGCGACCAATTTATGATTACTCAGACGTGGCGTGCCACGGTAGAGGGGGGAGGGGAGGGCGCAAAACCACAGACAGACAGCCACACAGCCACACAGCCACACTCACTCACAAACACAGGAATGAACGACTAGCAAGCGAGAGAGCGAGCACAACACTGCGCTGCCGCAAGACGACACAGTTCAGCAGCACCCAACACGGAGCAAGGCAAGAAGAAACAAGCAGCAAGTACGAGCCACCTCGTGGCGTCATCAAACCAACACACATACCCAAGTATCAACAACACACAACGAGCAGAGGAGGCCCACCACGGCCGTGCTTTGGCAACCAATTCACTGGCCAACTGAGCATGTGCCAGGTGTCTCTTATCGTCGCCCTTCAGACGGACTTGCCGATGACTTCCACGTTGAAGCCGATGGACTTGAGCTTGCTGTGGTCGAGGATCAGGCGACCGTCAAAGATGTACGCCGGCTTGGGCAGCGTCTCGTACACCTTCTTGTAGTCGTAATCTGCTCATACGCATGGCGGTGGCGATTGCATGTTGAGGGAGTCGGGGGTGAGGAGGCATGGCCCGTGAGAAGAAGGCTGGCTGCTGAAACCCCAAGGGTCGGGCAACGTGGCCCAACACACACACACACACACACACACACACACACACACACACACACACACACACACACACACACACACACACACACACACACACACACACACACACACACACACACACACACACGCACACACACACACACACACATGCACACACATGCACACACACACAGACGTACACACACACAGACACAGACACACACACACACGTGTGTGCGTGAAACGTACCGACAAACTCGTCCCACTCAGTGAGGACAACAATGGCGTGGGCGCCAGACATGGCGGCGTACGGGTCTGTTTCGATGGACACAAGGCGCTCGACTGGGATAACAAAAAAAAAGGGGGGGGGGGAACAGACAACGAGAAGAAATAAGAGGGGTGGTACTTGCCGTCAGCATCATTGTGTCATACAAAGGCCTAAATTACGGCACACACACACACACACACACACACACAATGCGTAAAAATGCGCACGCAGCACGCACACACACTCACAAAATCACACAGTCAAACACGAACAATCACGCCATCATCGCTCACCGCGCGCTGGGTCGTCGCGGGAGACAGACTTGAGATCGTGCACAATCTGCGCATGCTTGACCTTTGGGTCGTACACGGAGATGTTGGCACCCTCGTCCATCAGGTGCTGCGCAATGTAGATGGCAGCAGATTCCCTGTACCACAAGCGTACACGTCACCACCAACACAACCACACATTAGACACGCATCAAAAAGTGGGGGGGGGGGGAACGGTTTTCACACACGGCAAAAACGTCCACACAGCGCAAAGACGCCCACAGAACACAGAGAGAGAGAGAGGGGGGGGAGACGCACAAGGAACACACACACACACACACACACACACACACACACACACACACACACACACACACACACACACACACACACACACACGGACACACGTGAAGCACCCACATACACACCTGGTGTCACCGGTGTCCTTCTTGAAGGCAAAGCCAAGGAGGCAAATCTTCTTGGTGGAGACGGTGTTGAAGAGGCAGCGGATGATGCGGCGGGAGAAGCGGCGCTCCTGGTAGTCGTTGAGCGTCACCACCTGGCGCCAGTAGTCGGCAACCTCCGGCAGGTTCAGCGACTCGGCAAGGTACACCAGGTTGAGGATGTCCTTCTGGAAGCAGCTGCCGCCAAAGCCAACGCTGGCGCGGAGGAACTTGGAACCGAGGCGAGAGTCCATGCCAATGGCCCGCGCAACCTCCGACACGTCTGCGCCGGTCGACTCGCAGATGGCGCTCATGGCGTTGATACTGGAGATGCGCTGGGCAAGGAAGGCGTTGGCAGCAAGCTTGGACAGCTCAGAGGACCACGTGTTAGTGTGCAGGATGCGCTCACGCGGGACCCAGTACGCGTACACCTCCGTCAGCTTCTCAATGGCCGCCTGGCCGCGCTCAGACTGCTCGCCGCCAATGAGCACGCGGTCGGGCTCAAACAGGTCCTTGATGGCCGTGCCCTCGGCAAGGAACTCCGGGTTGGAGAGGATGTCAAAGGTGATGCCGTCGCGGCAGTTGGCCTGCAGGATCTTCTGCAGCGTCTCCGCAGTGCGCGCAGGGACGGTCGACTTCTCAATCACAATCTTCGACGACTCAGAGTGCTCGGCGATGGTGCGCGCGCACGACTCGACGTAGCGCACGTCTGCAGCGCAGCCCTATTCGCGAGTGGGCACGCGCGCGCGGTGTGGGGGATGAGCCGACAGCAACAGAGGTGAACACGGCGCGGCAACAGGCGCACAAACCCGACACAAAAAAACAAAAAACAGGTGAAGCACAATACAAAGCAGGTCAAAAAGCCATGAAAACCAGCACACACACACACACTCTCTCTCTCTCACTCACACACACACACATTCACACACATACACACACACATGGACGCAGGAAATGCTGTACCTTGCCGATACCGTAGGACTTTGTGGGGGTGTTGACGGAGACGAAGATGAGCTCAGCCTCCTTCACGGCGCTCACCACGTCCGTGCTGAAGAAGAGGTTCTTGCCACGGCATTGCTTGACCACCTCATCGAGGCCAGGCTGTGCACAGAGCCAGCGGCAACGATAAACGCGACGAAAACACGACGAAGGCCGCATGGGCGCGATGCGATGGAACAGACAAAGCAAGAAAGGTGCAGGTACCAGGGCAGAGCATAAGGTACATGACGAAGAACTCAGAGGGCACATTGCGGCAGCCAACACACAATACACATACACATTGCATGTGCACACACACACACATGTGCACATGCACACGCACAAACACACATGTACGCGCACAAACACACACGCATGCACACGCACAAGTACAAAGACGACGCATCCCAAGCACAGGTGTACGCACCTCATAGATAGGGAGCTCATCGGAGTTCCAAGCGTCGATGCGCTCCTGGTTGATGTCAACAACCGTCACCTTGACGTTGTCGCCGCCCTTGAGGGCAATCACAGAGCATGTCGGGCCGCCGACGTAGCCCTGAGATGGATGGAACCGTGGAAGTGGGAGAAACGCATCAACACAAGCAGCCAAACGGGGGCCAAGGAGCGGGAAGTTAGAACTCTGCAATGGCATCCAACAGCAGAGAGAAACGGGGGCGGGCGAAGCCGAACAGGAACACCTCAGCCGTCCACACACATGTGCAACCCAAAGCATACAGCTGTTGCTGGTGGTGCTGGTGGTGCTTGCTGCTGTGGGTGTGCCTGTTTTGGCGCCATTTCATGGTGCCAGTGCAATCACGAATACACTCTTGGCCCCACACCGCCTCGCCATCACTTGCGCCACAAAACAAGAACAAACAGTGGCGGCACACGTGATGAACCCTATGCAATCAATGGCCTTCTTCCTTCCCCCTGATTGCTCGTATGAATCGCCTGAGAGAACAAGCACTTACGGCGCCGATGCAGCAGATCTTGGTGGGCATGATGCTGGTGGGTAAGCGGTTGTTGGGCGGAGAGCAAGGAGGGTTCCAACACTGTCTCGTTCCGGCCTGCGTAGGTGTGCAACGTGTGATGCTATCTGCTGGTCGGGGGGTGGTGAATGAATGCTTCGCGGGCGGGTGGGTGGTGCTGGCAAAGCAGAAGAATGTAGAATTTTCACCATATCTTACCTCAACATTCGACGCGTTTTGTGCTGTGCATTGTTGTTATTGTTGTGTGATTTGAGCGGCTGCACTGGTGGGCTGCACAGTGCAATGTGCCAAGACTCTTGGATGAATGCAGCTCGTGTTGCTGTGCTGTTGTGGCTTGAGCGCGCACTCATGTATGTGAACAAGCATTTCTGTTTGTGGTACAGACGAAGAGGCAGCGTGCGTGCGTATGTGTTTGTGTATTGGGCACTCGGTAACTTGCAAGGCACGGCCATTGTGTGTGTGTGTGTGTGTGTGTGTCACGCAAAGTATAAAAGAAAAGTGGAGAACAAGGAGGAGTTGATGACGAGTGAGTGATGAGTGCAAGAAGGGAAAGCAAGAGACAACACACAGTGTGTGAGCGAGTGTGCACGCATGTGTGTGTGTGTGTTGCGGGGAAGTGGTGCCAAGCAGCGAATCTCGATGGTGTGGTTGTTTTGCGCGCTTCAGCTACTAAATCAAGTGAACAAACAGAATGCTGTAACGTGTGTGGGCGCGATGCTGGGTCGCCATCATGTGACAGGACGTGGTGCTTCAGATGTCGTTGTGTGCGTTGTCCAGCAGCAGCTGATGTTTTGAATCGGCAGAGGGTTTCGCCGTCTCCCGCACAACACGATGCCTACAAGCGTGAGATCCCAAGGCAGTGTACAGCGGGCAGATCAATGGGTGAGAGTGGACCAAGATGGCAAACCAAGTGGTTGGTGCGACATGTAGACATTGACACGCAAAGAGGGTGATAGTGAGAGAGAGAGTGTGTGTGTGTGTGAGTGACTGACTGACTGACAGAGATTGATAGACCAAACAAACGATGCACGTATGTCATCAACACGCACGCACACGCACACGCACACGCACACGCACGCGCACACGCACGCGCACGCGCACACGCACACGCACACGCACACACGCACACACGCACACACGCACATACACAATGACGCACCCTGTGACGCGAAGCAACGCAAGAACCGCCAGCAGGGTGCCTGCAACGCAGCCGACTGCAATCGCCGCCACAGCGCCGGTGGAAACGCCTGGCTGGCCTGTACGCGCATCGGAGCGCGGTGATGACGATGACGACAACGCAGCATCTGTTGGGGAGGAGGCGGCAGCAAGGGCCTGTGCGCCGCCAAGGGAGGCACCAGAGCCAAGCAGCACAGCGCTCTCGCGGTGCTCGCTTGGAAGCAGGTCGCGAAGATCAACGGTGCCGCGGTCGACCGCATCCACGACCGCAGACGTGAGGTTGTGGGCCCGCCCGCCCTCGTGGAGGATGTGGACCACAATATCAAACGTGCGCCTGGTGGTGGGAAGATCGTCCATGTGCATCGCGTCCTCTGGGCCATCCACGTACGTGTCCATGCCGTTCCCGTCCATCTCCCCAACCTGGGACACGTCCACGAAGATGTTTGACTCGGCCACGTGCAGCAGCTGCGACAGCTGCATGCGCACGCGGTTCACGTGCTGGCGCAGTGCCGCCCGGTGTGCGGCGTAGTCTTCCGGCGACCAATCGCGGCGAGAGCGGGAGTCATCTGGATTGACAGCAAACCGGAACAGGCCCGACCCAAAGGAGGCGAACAGGGAGCCGGCGCACTGCTTGGCCGTGGACAGGCTCTGCTTCACCGTGTTGAGGAAGGCGTCGCCAAACGCCTCGTGGATGGTCTTCAAAATGCGAACCCAGTCCGACACACGCAGCGAGCACACGGACACGCTGCCGCCCGTGTAGCACTTGACATGCGAGTTCATGGCGGCCCTGCGCATGCTGTCGCACTGCGCCTTGTCAAAGGGGAAGGACGCGCCGGGATCCCGCTGCATGGCGGTGACGTAGTCCTCCAGCTCCTGCTGAAGGCACTGCTTCGTCTCCGCCACCCAGACTTTGCCCTGGTCACTGAAGCTGGACTGTGCGGCCGTGAACTTGTCGCAGTACTTCAAGCCGTAGCCGATGGCGTACCCGCTTGGGCCGCACTGCGTCTGCTCGTCCACGCAGTTGTAGAACGTGCAAGCGCCAACGTCACAGCCGCGCACTGTGGGCAACGACGGCGCGACTGCGACCATCACCACCGCCACGCACACCACAGCCACCACGGCGCTCATCCCGCGCATCTGAGCGAGTGACGTGAGGACAAACGAAAGCAAGCAAACGTGTTGAGTGAGGGTGTGGGGCTGAATGCTGGCTGGTGTGAGCAGGAGAAGTGGAACTCACCACAACCAAACCAAAACACAAAGCGCACACAAGACGAGACGCAGTGTTGGTTATTAGTGGATGATTTGCACCATTTTTCGTAGCCGTCCACCCTGCCCAACAAACGAGAAAGACTGCAGCGGTGAGGCGGGATTGCTTTCTTTGCTGCCTTGAGAATTGGGTGTGCTGGGCCAGCTGTGTCCTGGTGTGCGCGGGTGTTTGTTGGTGCTGTGCGTGTGGATGGATACTGCTGTGCGAGGTTGTCCTGTGCTGGGTTGTCCTGGTTTGGCTTGGGGAGGAAGGGGGTACATGATATCGCTGTGCAGACCACACTGGCTTGCCTGCTGTTGTGTGTGCGTCTTGCTAGCTTGCGTCAGCTCATCCATCCAATACTACTACCTGCGATATCGGTGCTTGTTTTGCCCCCTCCCCCTTTCCATCTCCCGTATGCTCGCAAATGCTCTTTCTTCGGTGCGTGTGCCCTTCCTTGTCCTTCTTGTGTGTGTGTGTTCTTCCAACACTGGCAGACATGGAGCCCTGGCTTCACGGCTACCTGAGCCGCCAAGAGGCAGAGGCGCTGCTGGAGAGCAATGGGTTGGTGCCGTTTTGCTGGGGAATGGCGGGTGTCTGCACGACATCGGCGTGTGTGTCAACGCCGTTTTGTTGATCTCGAATGCAAGCCATTGCTTTGTCCTGACATGATCTCCTGCCCCCCCCCCCAAAAAAACGTGTTCTTAGTGCGTTGTTGGTTGTCGCTCATGCCCCTCAACCCTGTTGCTGCTGGTGGCGGCGCGTCGCTGTTGCCTCATTTCTTTGCAGCTCCACAGAGGGTCTGTTTCTTGTGCGACTGAAGGATCCGGGAGCCGGAAAGTTTGCCATCTCCTTGTCCGCGCAAGGCAGAATGCTCCACTTTATGATCGAGCGCCAGGGGCCTGAGTTTTACGTCAACAAGGGGCCGTTCTTCAACAGTGCCACGCTAGCGGAAGTCGTCCAACACATGACGCGCCCATCGTACGTTCAATCCCCCCAAGCTTGCCATCCCGACTCCTGTGCCTTTGCGTGCTCGGACTTGTGTTCACCCAACTGCTCACGTTGATACAATGTCCACGTTGTGGTGCTGCGTGTGTGTGTGTGTGTGTGTGTGTGTGTGTGTGTGTGTGTGTGTGTGTGTGTGTGTGTGTGTGTGTGTGTGTGTGTATATCTGTCCACCTGTCTGTGTGTGCGTGTGTTTTGCTGTTCAGACCACACTGGAAGTATCCGTTGCGAAAGTACGTGGACAAGGAGACGCTGGAAGCAGATGTGGTGCGTCATGAAACCGTGGAGAGGGGACAGGAAGTTTGCTACCTGCCTGTGCAAGTTGGCATGCACGTTTTGTCACTGCTGGTAGTCCTTCCTTCACTCACTCGCACACACACACACATGTTCACGCACACGTTCACACGCACACGTACCCATTCGCTCATGCGCTCATGTGCTCACACACACACACACATGTTCACACGCACACGCACTCACGCACACGTACCCACTCGCTCATGCGCTCATGCGCTCATGTGCTAATCTTCCTGCACTGCTCAGGTGACTGTGCACAACAAGGGCCAGGCAGCAACACTGCCGCCACGATCGCCAAACCCATCAGCGCTGCCCGCACATGATCCGCAGTTCCAACAGCAAGCAAGCATGCCAGTACCACCCACCCTCTCCACCACCTCCTCAAGCACGTCCCCAGGACCCTCACGTCAGTGTGTGTGTGTGTGTGTCTGTCTGTCTGTCTGTTTGTTTGTCTGTTTGTGTTGTTTGCCTGTCTGTCTGTTTGTGTTTGTCTGTATCTGTGTCTGTGTGGTTGTGTGTTTGTGTGTGTGTGCGCGTGCGCTCCGATGCTCGCGAGTCTCGTTTCGTGTTTTGTGTGGTTTCATTTGCACGTGGATGTGCCAAGTGCGTCACATCACCACCCCCCCCCCCTTGCTCACCCGTGTGCCTGTGCTGGGCCGTATGTCTGTGCAGGGCAACCGAGCGACCTTCCCGTGCAATCGTCACCGCTGGACCCGGCGCCCCCGCCGCTGCCCACAGCTCCCCCACCAACACACCAGCAACAACAGCAACAGCAACAGCAACAGCAGCAACAGCAACAGGCACCGCCACCGCCACCCCTCTCTTCGTTACCGCCACAACAGACGCAAACGCCTGCCGCGAACCAGCCCCCACAGGCACAGGACCAGCAGCAGCAGCAGCAGCAGCAGCAGCCTGGTGCATCTTCGGCATCGACAGCGGCGCCGACGGGCGAGTCGAAGCGAAGCATGTCAGGCGTGTTTTCCACCATCAGGAAGAAGTCCCTCACCTTCCTCAGGCGAAAGAAAGGATCAGGAAACACAGCGGTGTGTGTGTCTGTCTGTCTGTCTGTCTGTCTGTCTGTCTGTCTGTCTGTCTGTCTGTCTGTCTGTCTGTCTGTCTGTCTGTCTGTCTGTATATGTGTCTGTCAGCCTGTGTGTGTGTGTATGTGTGTGTGTCTCTCTGTGGCTCTCTCTGTGTCTGTCTGTGTTTACCTGCTGCGTTTTGTGGTGAACCGTTTACGCGAGCGCACGTCCTCTTATTGCCGCTTATCCCACCATTTGCACCTTTGCTTGCGCGTGCATGTGGCGTGATGTGACAGCTTGTCGATGCGGGTGTTGAGTTTATGGCGACGATCAAGGATGAGGCGATTCGCACCGAGGGCTCCGTCATTGACGAAATGGCGCAGAAGGTATTCCCTGTTTTGCCAACACCACGTCCACCAAAAAGCACATCAGCCACGCACGCGCACAATCGTATCTACGTGCATGAACGCATGAATGCATGAGGCACATTGCCGTTACTGCTCTCATGTGCGCATGTGTTCATTTTGTGTTTTGTTTCTTTGTGTTTCATTGTGTGTGTGTGTGTGTGTGTGTGTGTGTGTGTGTGTGTGTGTGTGTGTGTGCAGGCGTTGGCGGCGGCTGCAGTTGCTCCACCAGAAAAAGCGCACATTTATCTCTCCCTCGACGGCTTCACGGTATGTGTGTACGTATGTATGTGTGTGTGTGCATACGTGTGTGTGTATACGTGTGTGTGTGTGTGTGCGTATGTATGTGTGTGTGTGCGGAGAAGCTGTTGTCAAGTGCTGCATTGCGCGCCGCTCACGGGATGCGCCATCGCCATCTTTGCCATGAACCAATCCACCTTGGCTCCATTCAATAGATCATGTCCAAGGGCCGTGAGATTCTCTGTCAAGACCGCTTCCTCAACGTCTTCGGTGTTGGCAGACCAACGTGAGAACCATGTGTGCACATGCACGCGCACATGTGCGCACATGTATTGACACACACCGACACATGCACGCACGTGTACAAAGATGCACACACACACACATGCACGCACGTGTACAAAGATGCACACACACACATGCACGCACGTGTACAAAGATGCACACACACATGTACATGTGCGCGCCTGCACTATGCTGTCCTTGTCTTGCTTGACCCGCCACTGCTGACGTGTTTGCGTTGCTATGCAGGGAGCAAGAGAACAAGAACGTGATTGTGATTCTGCAGTTTGCGACAGATTCAGATGCAGGTACGAATCCTGCAACTCACCCTCCGTGTGTGCATGTGAATGCACGCGTGTAAACGTGTGTGTGTGTGTGTGTGTGTGTGTGTGTGTGTGTGTGTGTGTGTGTGTGTGTAGTA